GGCAGCCACCAACTGTACACACATGTCATGTTGTGTGTATGTAAACATAGTGGCAATTCAAAAGCATTACCCTATAAATAAAAAATAATCATCGCCACATAAATCAACGTCCTGTGATTTACGAGTTGAAGAGGCGTCTTTCCTCCTGCAATATTTGTCCGGCAACGACCGCCTGACACAAGATGCTTAATGGCCTGATATTCTGAATGGTCCAGGCTGGTACATCCGCCTTTCACTCTCACACTTTTTCTCTCTCTTTCTCTCTGTCTCTCTCTCTCACGTCCTCCTTTGCCCTTGTTTGTATTGGACGTGTGTCCCTTCCAATTTCCCATTTTTGAAAACATTTGGGATGTGTCCAGTTTTGGGTCACTGCCTGTGGCACTTCAGGTTGAACACGTGAACTTGAGCTGTGCTGTGCATACTATCAGGTTCAGACTGAGAGAGAAATGTGTAGCGCTCGGAGGGAAGAGTAAGCAGCCCCCTGTGAAGGGAATGCAGCGTAGTTGGCTTTCACTCTGCACTTAATTCAACTCAGCTCTGACCAAATAACTTAATAACTGGCCAGATTGAGCGTACAAAATCTGGCCAGTTTCCCCTCCGTCAATGTAGAAAGTATTAAATAACATTTGGTCATTGAGCCTTGTCCAAAAATGTACTTTAGATCTTAGATGAAGATCGAGCCTGAATGACCCATGAAACCACCATTAAACCATCCTGGGTCAGAAACTGTTATTTTCAGCTTGTTTTAAAGTTGTTTCATAACAATGAACCTATAATCCTCTATAAATATTTCCCATCTAAGGATCAAAAATTACTATTTGATATTCCAGCACTGAATTATTTTAGAGTTCCAGTCATGTGGATTAACACATCTAAGTGGGTAACAGGTGCAAACTGTACACGTATACATTACCTAATTATCATGATTAGAGACTGCGTTTGCATCAACCCTCCTTCATGCTTCTCTTAATGAGCAGTTCTGCAATTCTTAGTGGGTAAAAAGTCTCTTTCTTTTTGAGACGAGCCAGTCATTTCCAAAGAGCTGTTTCTCTTCATATCAAATCATAGTCAATATTGTTATGAAACGTTTATAAGTTTGAATAAGTGCACCATTTCTGGAGTAGCAAGTCGTCCAGTAAGAGTTGAACTTTTCATGACACATGGAGTTGACAGGAGTTATCTGGAGAGTTGTGTCCACTAAATGTCTGCAGGGCATGTGGGGGTGTTTGAAACAATCTTTAAGTGCGATACTTTTCATACTCATACTGTGTTGAGCTATGCATTTTCTGTGTGGGTGGAAAACGATCACCAAGTCAGACAGTGTCAACATTGTGAATCACAGAAAAAGTCTCACTTGTAACATTGAAAAGTTTTGTGTATTATATGTTTTACCTTCCTGATGCCAGAAGGATGAATGACAAGTTGTTTTTTTGCGGATACTGTTCTTTTCATCCAATTGTTAAATACTTTTGTGATGATCTACTTTCCGTTTTCCTGTTTGGTAGGGAAAGCAAGGACAGTGGTAGATGAGAAAAAACATGATTTTATAGCGTTAATATAAGTTGAAACGCTCTAAATTAGCTACAGTAATACTAAAGGAGCTTCTGTCCTTCCTGCTTTTTGCCGTAGCACGTGATTAAACTAGAATGGGTGATCTCAGGACACAAAATATACTGTAACATTTCTAATAGAAAGTCTAATAATTGTTTCACAAATATATAAATGAAAAGATACATCTGTAGTAAATTTACATTTACATTTCATCTTTTTTTTCAGAACATTGGTCATATTTGACCAATCACACAACATAAGCCTAAGTTTATCTTACTCGTGCAAGTACCTTGCTTTGATAATTCTAGTAGTTTCTCAGTGGAATGAGACACCGTCCTGTACGTCAGACACAAGCAGCTTTGCCTCTGTATTCAGCCTGTGACTCAGTCATGCGGTCGGTCCAATCGATTCGCCACCCCGCCCTCAGTGCTCGGCTAATGCCGGAGCTCTGCGAGCACCTTCCTTCCCACCTGTTCTGTGCAGATAGGCCGTCACTCGTCTGCATTCGTCTCACGGCGCGTGCAGTGACGTCAACTAAAAAGCAATGTGCTAATGTGCAGAAAGTTTCAATGAATTGATGTTATGCCTTTCTTTTGCTCTCCCATCGGTCAGTTTTTGAACGTCTGATGGGGAGCAGCTCTTTGTAGGAGACCGAGGCTGGCATCTGTCGGTAAATACAAGCAGCTCTGAAACGTGCTGATAAGACTGTGGGGGCCTCTGAGCCGCAGCAACGGCTTACGGATTGAGGCCTGCGTCTCCTCCACTGCTCCCAGATGGGAGGAGCCTCCCATTTGTTTTTGCATGATTTTAGTGGCCGGATGCTATTGTGGTTACGCCTTTCTTAGAAAGTGATCACACTTTAGAGGTGACCTTATCCTTGAAGTAGTAAAGCTGTCCTTCTAATATAAATGACGGTAATTGTTTGAAAGAAAACGGAGCATTTCTCAATACTGAGACGATTTGCCTTGTTTGTAGGCAACAAGGAGGCCAAGCTATTCAATTAATGTTATTGAACTGCATGCACAAAATGCTTCAATTACGTGAAGACACATTTTTTGTGTGAAACTGGGTAGTTCAAGACCATGCCAAACTGCCAATTACCATAACAGATGAGAAACATCTTGTTAACAAAGACAGAGAGACCTGTTAGCCTTGAATCAAGCCTTGACATCTTGGCTACTACGGATAGTCTGGGCATAAAGCTAATATGCATAACACAAGAGTCTGTCAGGGATCCATGAAGGGAATTAGTCGTAGCAGGTCGGCTTGGCAATTGCAAAGGCCTCGCAAGCCAGCCAAGAGCTGTACGTCTGATGCGTCTGAAGATGGAGACTAGCGGAACAATGGAATGTGGGTCATGTTGTATGATGTTACGATGTTTTGCATGTCTGGAATCGCACCCGAAGGATCAGAATAGTTGTCAGCCGTCATGTTAATCTGTTATCAAATATACTATTTAATGAATGCTACAAGGAACGAAACGTCAACCATTTCCAAAGATCAACATAACAGCAAGTGTTGGTTTCATGGCATCTGACAACAGAAACTGAACATTTGTGCGAATAAGTCAAAGTACATCCTGACATTGTCAGCTAAGACAAACATTTGGCAGCAGATTATCTCCAACAGCCGCAACAGAGAATTCTGTTTGATATAGTTGCTACATGGAAATTAATGGTAAAGTCAAGGCCCAATTCCAAAAGTATATGCTGTATAATACACACACACAGTCAAATCCCACAATACAATGCTCTCGTAAAACTGTGGCGTGCAAGACATTTCGTTACTACAGTCCTGCTTGACAAATGACCCAGAAAAGTCACAGAAATGTACTTAAACGAAAGAAACTGGCTTAGTAGACATTGTTTAACCGGAAAAATCTAACATGGGATAACGGAACAAAAGATGTAATCCAACGGTTTGTTTTTTAATCCAATCACAACCCCTTGCATTCGTTGTTGTTTACCTTGCAAAAACAAGCCTTTGTATTAAAAAGATATTCCTAACCATTTGCTGTTTGTTTACATGTAAGGCACTCAGATAATATTCTCACGCAAAGTTAAGCAACAAAAATCCAAGATGAGGAAAAATATTTTTGCCATTTAATCCTGCAGAGAATGTATTATGTGATAAACTCATTAGCTCTTTTACATTGCATATTTACTGCTGCTGCGGATGTCTGCACACGGGAAACATTATTTGGTTATATTATACTTTGTCTAATTTGTTTCTCTTTTTTTTATTGCTCAGGTTCTGCTATTGTTAGAGGTGATCTTTATTACTAATGCTTCATTTTATTAATGCCTCATTTGTTCAATATAATATTTGTAAAGTTGTTTAGTACAATGCACCATTTGAGTGTCAATTAAATGTTTTGTATTTAAAAAGAAATGCACTCTGTTTTGGAATGCCAAAAGGTTTAATGGCGCTTAGAAGTGGAGTTGGTGTATTAAGCCGAGTCCTTTGAGTGGGCCATTTCTATTTCTGTTATAATTTGTGGAAAACAGATTCAAAGTACAACAAATGCCAAAAAGAGAAAACACAGAAAAAGAAAAGAAAGAGAGAGAGAGAGAGAGAGAGAGAGAGAGGACGGACCGTGACTTAAGAGGAAAACAGTGCAAAGGTTCAGATACACGCCTCTTTCAAATGCCGGTAAGCTGCAGTGAAACAGACGGGGAGCGAACGTGAACACAGGCAGACATTGACAGACGCACACTGCAACTTTTTCTGCATGACTGCAGGTACATGTCGCAGGCTGCGGCGGGGGCAGAGGGCAGATGGTGCCTTTTAGAGGTGGGAGGTTGAAAGGTGTGTGTGTGTGTGTGTGTGTGTGTGTGTGTGTGTGTGTGTGTGTGTGTGTGTGTGTGTGTGTGTGTGTATGTGTATGTGTATGTGTAGACATAAGGCTCTGGCTGAGGAGTGTGGACCACAGCTCAATTCTAAAGCTGGAATACCGTGCTGATGACAATTGATCTGTAGTTGTGCATTTTCCTGGAAATGATATCATCCGGTTAGCTGAAAGCGATGGGACTGGTTACCTTCTCATCCAGATCTTTACCCATGAACTATGGTTTCTTCATTTATCTTAATGGTATAAATCAAGCTTTTTAAGCTTCTACCCACTCACATATTTTCAAATTACAGAACCTATGCTTTCCATATGCTTAACACTTTAAACTCCCTCTATATATCCCTCGGGACTGTCAGAGGAAATGGTCAAAGTTGTCACAAAATTAGGATTCAAAGGATTTTAAGCCTGAATGGCTCTGGAAGACTCATTGTTAAATTCTGTGATGAATGAGCTAATGTTGCCATCTAGTGTTCATCGATGTTTCATATGTGTTTATTACCACAGCTTTCTAAATGTCAATAGCCAACGCTCTTAACCAAGGAAGAAAACCAACTTGAATACGTTTATGTTATTCGCCTATTAGTAAATCAATAAAAAATTAAATCAAAGAAAACTTTAATGAAGAAAGCCATGTATTTCAATTTATGGGTAAATGTTGAGGAAGTGGTACAAACAGCTGTATAAAGTGTTAAATATGTTGAATTTAAAAAAATGCTACACTTTGGATGTTTTCTGCCAATGCAAATCTTTATGCTCATCAACTGATACACTTCTAATTCATTTGTCTATGAACATGGCGGCATCTGTGAACCATTTTCTTTCCACGTTTTTCTTCCCCATCTCCCACAGTTTGGTAAGAAGCAAAGTCCCACTTTTGGCCGTGGTCAGGAGATATTCCTTGTTGTCTGGGTACTTTGTGACATTGTACCGGCCGTACACCAGAGACTGGCACAAGCGGCCGAGCACCAGCAGGAAGAGGGAATCCTTCTCCTCCTCGCTGAGCACCATGACGCTCTCCCAGCCAGCCAACACCGCTCCGCCTACGTCCAAAGGACTGGGGTTCTCCATCATCATGTACGCAATTGTTACGGCCACTTCAAATACATAGCAATCAATCATGAGCAGAGAAAAGTCCAGCACGCCCGACACCTCATGCCTCCCGTTGGCTGAAGGTGTGACAATGATGTTCTGGTCATTTATGTCTCCGTGTATTATTCCTGTGAAGGACATCACAGAAAAAAAATAATTCAGTGAAGAACTCTGCATTAATTGGAATGAAGCCAAAGTTCAGTCATTTTTGTCCATATTTGGGACGTTGGTGTGTTTTGTATAAAAATCTTGGGTGTGTCAATACTTACACAATAAAACAATACATTTGATATAGAAAGCTTGTTAGCATGTCCCCCGGAAAAAATGAAACGTAGAATTCTTTTGGATTTGGGTTTCTGGTTGCAGAGTCGCTAACTTTGTCTGTGTGCCTTTGGTAATGGACGAGTATCATGTGCAAGAAAAAACAGTTGCTTACTGTCAGACACCATGAGAGAAGTACGAGTAAAATAAAATGGAAAAGTAAATTCTGGTAGAGTAAATAAGTGAGTTATATCAAGCTGGGGGCAAGTGTTGAGTGACTTGATCATGGATTATGGACTCATCACTGTGAGTGAACCCCTTTCAGACACAAGTAGTCATTTGATCCATTGTTAAGTCGCAGCTATTTAGCTCTATTACCATTAAATGAAAGATTTGGGCATCATAAAGTTAACAATACAATTCATTCTAAGGATGTGTGAATCAAACGTCCCATTCGTCCAACCAATAGTTGGGAGGTCAGTAGAGGTCAGTAGAATTCATTCTTTGGGGACAATGAATGTCAACTCATAAAATGTCATCTCACAAAATGTCAACACGTCCAATTGAACAATAGAAAAAACAAAATAAATATAGAATTATTATCTATATTACCTTTACGGAGAGAGACAATTCTGGGCGCCACCAGTGACTTATACTGTTTAACAACCGCTTTGATCACTTTCTGCAGGGGGTCTCCATCCATCACTGACAAGTAGTCGTCTATGAGAGGAATGTTGGATAAACTCCACATCTCCTCATTACTTTGTAAGACATCCAAGTTTGGAGAAACCAGCTGAAAAAAGAAAATGGTTTCAATACAAGTCATTTTGCACACTTTATGTACCACAACTTTTTAAATAATGAGCTTCATTATAACCAGAGTAAGCAGTCTGCAATACAATTAGGCCCTTTGTAAATAAAAGCGAAATAACAAACTGTAAGGAACGAAATATGTATGAGCCAATAGGGAAAAGCCCATGTGTAGGTAATTGGAGATCAAAAAATCTCTCTGAGCTGAAATGTAGAAGTTTGACATTTAACTGACTTGTTTCAATGTCGTATCGATGACTGCAGCCAACTTCCCGATCTGATAAAGATCTTGCACGGTTACTGGAGATTCTGCAACAGTTTTTCCAGGGAGATACGTCATCAGCCTCACACAGTAGGTCTGAGCACCCTGTCCACAGTCTAATAACAGAATGAAGATACAAAAACAGGAAGATATGATTCACAGTGTCATAACTAACAACTAATTATAATGTATGGTGCAGTTTAGAACTTAAAGATCATGTGATACTATTTAATAATGGACCAAAGGCCTTGCCCTAAATCGGACTAAAACATGACATTCAAACGTTCTTGTGTCTTGTAGGGACATGCATATCTTCACAGTCACATTCCATTCCAACCATTCAATCCAAGTCACTACATTTTGGGGTTTAAGTTATAGGTAAAGGACGGGGGGACAGTGTAACTAGGTCAGCAGCGAGTTACACTAATGACATAGCTGATATTTTGACATATACCAAGTTGTTTCTGGGCTTTCTTACTACGCAAAACAATCAACAATTGTTGAGTTTAGCATTTCTAAACTGTGGCTCCAGCACTTAATTAGTTTCTAACAACCTGCAATAGAGTTAGTGTCTAAACAGATTTTCATAAAATGCATTTCATTGTTTCTAAACCAGTGTGTTTCTGCAGTAAAATGGGAAAAGGCTCCAGTCGTTTGTTTAACCTCTTGCATCATGTGATTGTGAATTATTATTGGTGGTACGTTGCCATTACCTATTTCCTCCATACTCATGAGCTTCCCGGTGGTGGTGGGCACGACTATCTGAGAAGGAACTCCACGTTGGTGTAAGAAGGACATGGCCAGGGTCTGCACCTCCATCCGGGTGGGATTCATACTTTCTTTTGAGTTCATGATCTTCAGGACATACTTGTTATCCTCCTTGGTAACTAGGAAGAAGTTCTGGTCGTTGTAACTTGGCAGGGTAGAGATCTCCGTTAAAGTCACCCCATAAAGTCGTACTGTCAGTTGTGTTGCTTGCTGCAGGGTGAGCATTGGTCTGTGATCAACGGCTGGGACGGTATCTGCACACAACAGTCAAATTAAAACACAAATTCACACCCATTTTTAAACCTTGACGTTTGAATATGCAAGTTCGCACCAAATGACAAGAAATCCATTTTCACTTCAGCCAAATTAAAAGGACTACTGTGCGCGGGACAACTTTTAAGGTTCAACGGGACCCTTGAACGTTTTGGAACTACACCACATGCTGCGGCAGCCAGCGTTGAGAGGATTATTTTAAATTTAGATGCTTTAAAGCATTAGCATACAAAATATTATGATAAACATGCATTCAACTCGGTGATTTAAATTTGAAGGACATTATGTGCTCTCACCCATTGCTCAAGTAATCCAAGAAAGTGGATGACAAAAGCCGTAAACGAGTATAAACACGTCTATCCTTTCTGTCTGTCAGGATGCACCAGTCAAACCTGCCTGCTTACCTCAACATATACTTTCATTCCGCGCCTCCTCTGTGTCATCAACTCCTCCTTGTGGACCTGCTCCGTCTCTCGCACTCCCAAACTAACCCTCAGTCACACCCATTCATAAAACAAACCTTAACCCCAACATCCACGACAATTACAGACCCATCTCCAACCTCGCATTTCTGATTAAAATACTGAAACGCCCACCCACTAAAAACTCACCTGGACTGACAGCAGCTGTACGAACCATTTCAATCCGGTTTCCGATCTCATCACAGCACAGAAAGCCAACTGGCCCAGATGTATAAAAACCTGGATGCAAAGCAAACCTCAACGGCAACAAATATGAAATCCTCATCAGACCCAAATCACTAAACAAACCCCACCACAACTTCTCCCTGTCCATTGATGGCAGCACTGCTCCTGCCAAGACACGTCGTCAGTATGAAGAATTGGGACTACTACTTACTGAGATACTGTATTATCTTGTATTATCTATGAATTGTTGATATAATAAATATGTTACCACAGAAATGACAGTAATTATAGTAAATGAATTATATTAATGTCGTCATCCACGCCTACATTGGAAGCAGGAGCTCGAGAGGACCACACAAGGGCAGCATTGCACAGATACAGATTTTATCCACAGCTATGAGGACAGTGACAGACCAATACCGTTGGTTTTCAAAGCACTTAATCAAACAAAAACAACGTATAAGTAAATACTTGAAAGGAGTGATGCAAAGTGTTAAAACTGTCAGATAGAAACACAGCAAAGCCCCTTTGTAAGTAAAATGTAAAACTGTGATGTTTACAAAAAAAACAGACTCAGGGATACCAAGCTGCAAGACTTTAATGGTGAACTACAACTAGAATCTGGTGAGGAGTTACAGAAGATCTATCTGACTAAGCAGCAGAAAGCAACACAAGTTTAGACAGTAGGATATCTGACTGTAATATATGCTTGAGGTTTTCTGTTAGTTTTGTCTAAGCAGTAGAACCACAATGCATCAAAAATATCTCAGATTAGTCAATCGCATTGTACTGAGCAAAACGTTTTGAACTTTAGATTGTAGCAGCTGTGTCCTTTTAAAATGATGCTTAGTCATTTACTGCTGTCAGCCAGCGGAGGAGCTGTGTTACCTTCACGATGGAGGAACTCTCAGAGAGAATCAAGGTGGACTTTTTGGAATGTACAAAATACAAACCATTTTATTAGGGTTTTGCAATCAAAAGAAGATAAAATGTTACAAAAATGGACTGTGTACAAAAAAAAGGAAAATAAATGATGAAATGTAAATCATTTTAAAATTTTAAAAGTTTAAATCATACAAAGCAAAAAGAGCCCTTTTGCTGTCACCTCCCATATATATTGCTTCTTTAACCTCCTAGACATACATAGTAGACAACTAATCATTTACAATTGAATAAATAATTACTATTTCTTCAAGTCAACACTTACATGTTAGCCCTTCGGTTTCTGTAAGGCCTTTTATCGACCAGGATGTCTCTCTATAAATTACTATTATTGCAATATCTGAAAAGTGAACACCTACAATCAGCATTTGACCTACAATCAAATGCTGATGGAGAATCATCAGATCAGAGTAAGTTGGATTAATACTTTAACATTCAGCCAACATAGAAGCACTTATGATTAGATATTGTTAACTGGAAGAAAAACACTTTACCGTTAAGTTGACATTACAAATAGTGTGAGATTTTATGTGAAAGAAATAATGTTGTGATATGTAAGACTAAAACCCTTTTAGATAATTAAACGTGATGCTGATTGCTTATGTGTATTGTGATGAGCATTACCCTTGACTGAGGTGGGATAATTACTCTCTAAATTATCAAAAGTGGAAATGCCGACTTCAAATATTTAGCTGTCCAAGAATGATATTAAAAGACAGCTGAAACAAATTGTTTTAAACAGCTGCAATAATTGTCTTTTATTTAAAAAAAGGAGAATAATAATAAGCTTTTTGGATTGACTTTATCCCCAAACAAATCCATTTGAATTTGTGTAATGAGAGATGCGGACATCTTTGGTACCTCGACAGTGCGTTGGAAACGTATCACTGTCTCTCCTTCCATCTTTCTCACAATTTGTCGCCGAACTGAGCTGCACTCTGGAACCAGACCTTCTCTACCTGCTCCTTTCCAAGCTCCCAGAGTTGACGGAGAATGTGGACGCCCCTCCTGGAGGAAATCATCAGATACTCTGCATTTTCCGGATGCATTCTCACAGTGTGACGAGCTAAGACCATCGACTGGCAGAAGCGGGACAGCACCAGCACGTAGAGACAATCCCTCTCCGTCTCATTGAGGGGGAGAACGCTTTCCCAGCCAGCCAGCACGGGTCCACCCACCTCCACGGGTTCAGGGTGCTCCGTCATCATGTACATGATAGCGATGGCCAGCTCGTGGATGTAGTAGCCGCTGTTCATGTCCCCGAAGTCGAGGATGCCGGAAATCCTGTGGCCGTCGCTCTCATCGGGTTGAACGAGGACATTGAGGTCATTGAAGTCACCGTGGTTAATGCCTTGGAAATGAGAGAGACAATGTTATTAACCTGTTGTTATTCATGCATTCAGGGACACATCCAATCGCTGCTGGCAGCATACACGGTGCTAATGATCAGGGTCGGGGGGAGGTGACCAGAAGAGTGTTCGAATTGGACAGCGTCCTTTATTCAAATGTTTCAAAGTAATTATTATACTCACACTTGCGGAAATTGGAGCGTTTAGGCGTCACAGAGGTCTTGTACTGATGAATGACAGACTTCACAACCTCTTCAAGAGGATCTCCTTCTAATATATTAAGGTGTGCTTCCAGTTGGAGAACATTCGATAGACTCCATATGAAATTCTCTCTCTCCAGCAAGCCAAGATGAGGGTGCTCCATCTGGAAAAGAATAAATGATATTAATTATAATACAGTGTGTGCTTCCTGAACAGTGGGGGGCTGGTGGTATATCGAACACAGTGATTCCCCTGTTTGAAGCCTTGTTTAATGAAATAACAATTATTGGAAAGGTAACCTTAAAGGACTTCTACCAATGTAATGGCAGGGAATTAGCCTAACTAGTAAATTCATGATGAAAGATTTTTTTTTTATAAAACAGTCTTTAAGTTTTGACTTAACACTTAACACAAGTGACAATACACTTTTAAATAGTGCAGCACTTTGTTGGTCAGCAATTGATGGAATTACAAAAGAATATAAATGATTGAAGGTTTCACAGGTATGTTAGTGTTATACCTTTTGTAGGATTTGGTCCATTCTGGCTGCCATCTTGCCAGTTTCATAAAGTAACTGTGGAGTTAAAGGAACCTTGGAAATAGTGGTTCCAGGCAAGTAAGTCAGCAGCCTCACCAAGTACTTCCGAACGCCATTGCCACAATCTGCCAAAGACAGGATTCGTTTTACCAGTTTGTCCAAATACTAGCATAGCTACAGTACATCTCTCTACACACACACACACACACACACACATATATATAAGTATGATATAATATGGAGCACAAACCTCTGTGAATATATGCTCTGGTGGCAGGTGGTGCAGGACAGTGCCAACTTTACTCATTTTAAAGGTAAAAACAAAGAAATTAGCCACCGCCTGAGCAGAGCCAAACGTGTCTTAACATTCCTCTGCAGTATTCAACTAGTATTTTCCTCAGCCAATTTTTCTACTTCTGGTATTTAACTCAATAAAGACTGGTCTTAGTTCCGACGTGTGTGACTGGTCTCATACCCATTTCTTCGAGGCTCATGAGCTGTCCTGCAGCATTCCGCAGGGCTGTTTGAGCAGGAAGTCCATTCTGGTGCAGGACCGACATGGCGTACGTCTGCACCTCGATCATGGAAGGGTTCTTACTGTCCTCTGAGTTCATTATCTTCAGGACGTACTCGCCACCCTCCATGCAGGACACGTAGAAGTTCTGGTCATCGTAGCTGGGGAGGGGGCGGATTTCGGATGGCGTCAGGCTGAAGAGTCTTGTCACCATTTCAACCACCTGAGCGTGGCTGAAGTTTGGCTTGGAATGCAAGGTTGCCATTATTGCTGTTGAATGAAAACAATAACCTATTACAAAAATGCAATTTTGTAGCATAAATTTAAAAAACAAAATCATCAGTCATTTATTGTACAGTTATGATCATTTAAATGACATCTTGCCATGCCATCTAGGGGTTTTATTTATTACATTTCAAAACAACTGAGTGTTAGTGCTGACGGTAAATATTAATTTCACTATTACAATAAATAATCATGGCGTATTTGCAAATACAATATGCCATCTTGGACTCCGTGACCTGTGTTGCATGCTTTTTTTAAATTACTTGCTAAATAATTACTAAATCAAAACAATACTTGATTCCTGCCGAAATGAAGCCTTATTGAAAGTTGACCACTGCACCACTCACACGTTTTTTCCACCTTCATTGCTAATTGATTTAGTATTATTTAGTATGCATTCATGTGTGTTTTCTTCTGTCAGTATTTTATGAGAATGAACAAAGCAGATTAACCTATAGGTAAAACGATGCATAAACTCCAAAGATTAAACAGAGAACTGTAGGAGGTGTCATTAATAAATACAGTTAAATTTTAAAAGATAGAAAAGAAACTGACATACTGATAAACAGCAAGTGAGTGTGATTAAGTATATTATGTATATCGTGTGTAATTGGTAAGTGGTGCTCTTTTAACATTATTCACATTTATTCAACACATTGCATGAGCTATGAATGAACACGCAATGCAGTTTAGCACCACACAATGTCAGAACATTAACACTAAAGCCTTTAAATAAGTAACTAAATAGATTGTTTAATAAATCATTAAACAGATTATTCCACAACTTTTACTTTGAAGGAAAACCTCTCTTTTTTCCGGCTGTCGATTTCACTTGACTCAAATGTGATTACTAAAGTTTGTGCTGACCAAATCGGTTTATTTAGGATTATTGTGATTTCAAACTTTGCACAACGGCAGACGGGAGTTACGCGAGAAGAAGAGACACAGAGGCTGGTTGACGAGAGACTCGGGCCCGTAGTCTTACCTCGCGTTGTGCGGAAGAACGGGGAACGAACGGGGGACGTGGCGCGCGGCGGCGTGTGCGCTTCTTATCAAGTTAACGACGCGACTAAAAGAAAGTATCCACATCCTGTTTGGATTGAAAATCACAATAATATAAAACGGCATGAGAATTTGAAAATGTGTATTGTCGTCGCGACGGTGGTTTTACGTGGTCAAAATAATAAGAATCAAAATAACTTCAAAAAATGTTATCTTTTCTCACTTTGGCAAATAAGAAAAACATTCACCTACTTTGTAAACAACAGGTCCCCACGTGGATAAAGGGGGAACAATTAAAAATGCATAGTGTTTGTAGCCTCCATCTGTCCTCCTGTTAATATTTATGATATGGCCTTTAGTTTGTACAGGCATGACTCAATTTGCCTTTGCTCGCTTATGACTAGATAGATAATGTCCCATGAGCTTCTCGTGTCTCACATGACAGCCATGAAATGGACTCTTTCGACCGTCAGCATCAGAACTGCGTATGAATATCGAATAATCATAAACAACGTTTCATGACTGCCAGAATACTGCTTAAACCTTAACAAGCATTTTGTTAATCATTCATCGTTATGAAACATAAACTATTTTAGTGAAAAGAACGCTAGCTTCAATTTACTCTTTTCCTTCACATTGTAAAAGTTTGGGTATTATTCCCATATGTAATGCACTGCACCACATCAGGCAGGTTTTAACAACACTACTTATCATCAAAAAGAATAGCATTCCCATTGGGTGTACTTTGTGACGCAGGGTGGAGGCTAAGCTTCGGCAACAGACGAAAACTGGGGTTTGAAAAGTCAAACTCCAATTTTTTAAAGGCATTTCCCACCCTGTTTTCAATCGTGCTGCTCATTATTTGGGGAACTATAGTAAAACAAATACTGTAGGTCCTTGAAAGTCTCATCGCATGGTATAACCTAGATATATAATATTATAGATTCATACTATCTAAGGTATAGTTCTGATACATATGTATAGCATTTTCAAACTTGTAATACAATTAAGGACACGTCAACTGTTGAGATTGGGATTACAGCTTTTGACCTCCGGGCATCTCAGCCAGCTGAAAATATGTCAGAAACATTAAATTTCACTGAAAGGACAAACTGTCAAACTGTCATGGCGATAAATGAAGCCTCAGTACCAGAGAAAGCAGTTAAGTCAGCTCTGTCACCCTTGTAGTGCTTCACTGTGAGTGACTTTGTCCTCAGTCAGCATGCAGAAAATGTAATAGTCAGGATTAAAATACACCTGTAGCTGCCAGTCATTAATTAGAAGTAAGCAGCAGCGTTAGCAGTTTTTACTTTACTGGAATTTGTGCCTTTATGTTCCTGTTAGGAAGAGCAACACAAGCACAATTTTGAACATTTTTAATTTTCTTGCTCAGTTGGTGGCATTATTCAAAACTATATTTATACGACACCAAAGTGTTGTGAATTTACCTTCTAACCTTTGTTAGTGGCTTTCCAAATGCTCATGTTTTGTGCTATTTGCTATTGTTTATTTTGATATATTTTTATATATTTTTCTGTGTATTTGTTGTCTTCTCCTTGCACTGCAACAACAACAACCATATGACCCTTGACCCATAAAACACTATAAAAAAGTGTGTGCGCACACACGTACACACACACACGTATCCTGTATTTTCAGCAGCGCACGTGTGTGCGGTTAATGTGATCACTTATTAACATGTATCATTCTTATCAGGCTACGGTAAGCATCTGCTGTGCAGAGATTTATCATTCATGACAAACAGGAAGACTATCTGAAACCTGCACAACCTAATACATTATTCATTCTTACTGCTGAAACATGCCAGGTATATAAAATCACTTTCCAATTTCACAATCTCTATGAAACTTTGACAAAACTTCTGCTTAAATTCTTGCCTTTCCAGCTCTTCAATACGTATCCCTTCAGCATTTTTTTTATTCTTTCCGTTTCTTTGACCACTTAACCACATTAGGTCCATCCAGTAAATCAAATTCACGAATCAACATTTAACATTCATAACAGTATTACTTTATGTCACATCCTGTGTTTATAGTAGTATGCTTTGGCCTCTTTGTTTGTTTTTCAACCTGTTTTGCTCTTTAATCAGTATGACATACAGTATATCCTGCAAACCCATTGTGTAGACCTTTTCTGTCTACGCTCTTTTGCCATAATTTTGTTTTTGATATCTAAATTATTGTGCATGAGTGTTTTTTTCCCCACACTCAGTATGAAAAGCACACAAGCCTTGGCAGTACCATATTGACATGCCCATAATTACAGTAGGAAGTAGGAGCCGTGGTATAATGAAGGTTTGACAGGATGGTATTGAAAGGGCCGAGGTGAGGGAGGGGGACAGAGAGAGAGAGAGTGTGTGCGTGTGTGTGCGTGTGTGATTGTGCAACAGACCAGGAGGAGACGAGACGGAGAGAGGAGCACATTGTTCACTCCTCAGTGAAGACATCAGTCGGTGTTTGGGAATAACAACGGGGGAACACGTTAGAGGTAAGAAGATTTATGCAAATTAATCATTATGAGTGCAGGAATTAGACATTATAATGTTTATACCACTGTCTCCCAGGGGTACAGACATCCGGCATAATGTGATGGTTGAGAACCTGAAAAACGCATCACGCATCATTAAATGAATGTTTTGTTTTGCAAATCAAAGCATTTCAATTCAAGGTGTTTTTCAAATGGTAGATAAATAACTAATAAAAGAAAAACTTTAACCTTTCATGACGATACGCTAATATACGGAAACAAGTACGTCGCGATCGAGGGGGGCGGAGGCAGGACTCAGAGTTTGACAACAAAAGGTCCTTTTAATAAATCCAAAAATCCAAAAAGCGGGGGGGGGGGGCGAAGAAGACACGGAAAAACGCAGACGGGGAACAGGAACAGCCAAGACATTCACGAGTGACATTCAGGGTAGAACATTCAATGACGCGACAAGGGACAAAGGACACACAGGGCTTAAATACACTCGGGAGGTGCAGGTGATTGGACACAGGTGGACACAATCTGGGACACGGCAGACAACCACAGGGGACGACAGGACAAGGCAGGAAGGGACCCATGGGACAGAGGCAGAAAACTACAAAATAAAACAGGAAACAAACCCAAAACGTGACAAAGTATGCAGTCCTCACTAAATCAGCTAAGTATAACTTCTGTTTATAGGAACATTTTATTTTAACATGTCATTCAAAATTGACATTAAATATATGTTTATATCAGGGACAGTGCACGTTGATGGATCAGTGAATTCAGTTTATTTCTGTTACTCTGATATATGTGTATGAAACCAACAAAAAAATTGTTTGGATTAGAACACCAAGTCTATAATTGAATTAGTGTAATCGTATTGTACAAAGGTCTGTCAAGATGACCATAAAGGTAAAAGTAATTGAAAGTAACCCCCCTGAAATAGCAATATGGAAATAAGGAAAGAAAATCCATCTTGGCTAAAAAAGTGTCCTTAGTGTAGGTCTTTCAGCCAACAATCAATATAGATGTAAATAAGACGAAAATGAGACTAAAATAGGATTTTATTTTTTCATCTTCATACTAAACTTTCTTTCCCACCTGCTTTAAAATTCTTTCAATAGTCAAAATTGGGAACCAAGCCTGCTGTCCAAAACAATTAAACTGTTTTTACCCACCATGTCTTTGAGATTCTCAGAAATATGTAACAGATAATAAAACGTACTAATATATGTAAATATGTGGAAGAATTATGATTACGTTTTCCCAATTATCATCAACAGTCAGTCATTAAACTGGAAACACAGACTTTTCCTATCTCATTACCCCACTCTCACTTGGAAATATTGGTAATATCATTTTATGTCAAAGACAGTAATTAACATGCAGCTAATTTACTACGCCCGAGTCTGACAGACGCCAACGAAGATCCTATTCAAGTACAATCAAAGGTACTGTGTATTAAGAGTTTACAAACCAATAATACATTTTGGATAATTTGGAAAATCCCTTCATTTTAAACATTCAATCCTGATCATTGATACGTAAATGTCAGTAATTGTGTTGCTCATTGAATTTGCACTGGATAAAAAAAAAAAAAAAGAAAATAGAATGAAGGATGTGACTCAAAGGACTTACTTTTATGGACCACTTCAATGCAGTGACTCAGTGCTTTGCATTTACACCGAACCCTTAATTGAATGGATCTCCCAATAGGGAAAAAACAGAAACAATCATCCTGACTCGCATAGAACCCCCATCACAACCAATCTCCACAGACTGGGCTGGTCATGGTAACGGCATTGAGAATCTAACATAAAACCCTTTTATTGCAGTCTTCCTAAGTGAATTTGCTCCAAACCCTCTTCCTGCTATTTACCTGTCTGCTTGCCAGTGAAACATGTTCACACATTGGACAGGGGAAATTATAAATCTAGGAATATTACTTTATTATTCTTTTACTATTAAATTATGAAAAATGACCAATCTTAACAAGAAACTGATCCTGTGAATTTGAAGTCTGATATACAATACAGTAGCGGATTTCTCTGAGTCAAATAAGTTTGATATTATTAATTATCCTTTCAGTACTTTGTTGCAGGGAAAAACATCTATCAGTGAACAGATTTTAATTCATGCTTATTAGATCACTCAGTCTTCTGCTCACTGTCGGAAGTCAAATCAAAATTAATAGGCAGAAACAGTCATACATCCTCTTGTTCAGACTTTTGGAAATTGGTCAGCAGATCTCAGAGCAACATACGAAACAACTCCTTCCTTATTTGAGCTGACATATGTGACAACACATTTGCAGTAATGAGCAAAACTTTGACCCCTGTTCACGCAGGGTTAAAAATTATTTGGTGTAAATATCGTTAGCCGCTAACTTTATTCCAATTTGTCTTAAAAAAATGCCATAAAATGCAATCTCACGTTGATGTCTGTTTCATCCCTTTTTCTTAGATAGCAAGTCTTGACTTCTTCTGCAGGATGTCGGCTTTCAACTGCTCGTTCCAAAATGGTGTTTGGCCATGTCCTTCGGGGGAAGAGTGTTTCAACCTGACCCCGGGCGTGCACGGGAGCCACGTCGCTCTGGAGGATGCATGTCTGACCGAAGAGGAGTACCTGGAGAGATGCCTGGGGCCCCGTCGATCGCCTGTGTTCCTCCCCGTCTGCGTGGTCTACCTGCTCATCTTCCTGGTGGGTGTGGTGGGGAATGTGCTGACGTGCACCGTCATCACGCGCAACAAAGTCATGTGGACGCCGACAAACTACTACTTGTTCAGCTTGGGGGTGTCTGACCTGCTGGTGCTGCTGCTCGGCATGCCATTGGAGCTGTACGAGCTGTGGCAGAACTACCCCTTCCTCCTGGGAAACGGCGGCTGCTACTTTAAAACGTTCATATTCGAGACCGTGTGTTTCGCGTCCATCCTCAACGTGACGGCGCTGAGCGTGGAGCGCTACATCGCCGTGGTGCACCCTCTGCGCGCCAAGTACGTCGTGACGCGCACCCACGCCAAGCGGGTCATCCTTACAGTGTGGGGCGTGTCGGTGTTGTGTGCTTTGCCAAACACAAGTCTGCATGGAGTAACATTTCTTTACAGTTGCTCCACCGGTTCTTCGGGGAACATCCCAGTGGAAATCCCCGGCTCGGCGATCTGTACGCTGGTGAAACCGCAATGGATCTACAACGTGACCATCCAGGTGACCACCTTGCTGTTTTTCATGCTGCCCATGCTCACCATCACTGTTCTCTACATGCTCATTGGGCTGCAGCTGAGGCAGGAGAAGATGCTTCAGTTGGAGGCGAAGAAAGGCTTTGGAGAGGACAGCTTCTGTATCGTCAGAACGCAGCTGCAGAGGGCACGCCGCCGGCAGGTCACTAAAATGTTATGTGAGTATACAACAAGTCGGCCTACCGAAGATCTCTGTTATGGCCATGAGATAGCTCCCTTCCCCTTTGGGCTTGTGATCACATAATTACTCAAATAAATAATGAATATTTCTTTCCGACACTTACATTCAAATTCCAGTTATTTTAGACATAGATTTGAAAGAAACATTTTCGGATTATGAACCCAACGTTTAATTAACAGTAAAAAGCACCCAGAAAAAAATATTCTCAGTATCACTGACACAGCCACAAGAGGAACAATTTGATAGTTGCATGTTAGCAACATGGATCAACGGACTCCTTTTAACACCTTCTGTTGTCTCTTGCTGTTTTCCAGTTGTTTTAGTGGTGGTTTTCGCGATCTGCTGGGCCCCGTTTCACACCGATCGTCTCATGTGGAGTTTCATCAGCGACTGGACTAACAACCACCTGGAAATATTCCAGTATGTGCACATCATCTCGGGAGTTTTTTTTTACCTTAGCTCATCGGTCAACCCAATCCTATACAACCTCATGTCCACGCGCTTCAGAGAAATGTTCAAGGAGGTCATGTGCCATCGTCCTCACCACATCGGCCCCAGAACGCACTCACTCAGCGGGACCCAGGTGACCCTCCGCAGCACCCTGAGTGATGTGCCACTCAGCAACGGCGCTGCTGTTGCTGAAGCAGAGGCAGAAGATGGAAGGATCACAGATGAAACCGTTTTTTCATGCTAAATACTTTTTTTAAAAGGTATTTGAAAGGGGAGATGTTTGATGTTTGTAGGATGGTTCTATTCTGAGCGACTATATCCATCTACTCTCACTAACATCTACCGCAGGTGCATCAGCTAACCTTGAATAGTCTGCCGGAAGATCTCCATAAAAACCAAGGCTGCCAGCAGGCAAGTTTAAAAATGTTGGCATGAATAAGGTCCATGGCAGAAAGAGGATGAACGGTAATTATATACATAATTACTTAAAATTTAGAAAAGATTTGTGAAACACACATGTATGAATTAACAATAAACAAAGATTTCTAGGTAAACTATTTTCATTAATTAAACTAAAAAACAAGCATTTGGAAAAAGAGTAAAAAAGGGAAAGGAAATTATGGATGCTAGAACATCATGCAAAAGTGATGGTGTTTTATTACTTATACTGCTTCTATAATCGTCAATGGTGTGAGTTCAGTCAAACTGTATGTGCAGTAATTACTTATATCAATATCAGTTATACTATAAGTGTCAAAGATCACTTGCATGGTTCTGTACTATATTGAACTTCATATTGTTCGAAGTTGTATTCAGATGTTATTGATTACCATGGAAAATAATTTTAGTCGGAAATATTGATCATTTAAAGCAGCTTTGGTATTTGCTGTCACTGCAGAAAAAGTACATACTGTTTTGTATAATGTACGAGTGGCCCTCATTAACAGTATGACGAACATAAAGTAAAGATGCTTTCAACACGATGGACTAGGATTCCAGTATTAGCTTAGTACTGCATTAACTGACAGCAACTGTATGTGTGCTAAACCAACCATAAAAACGGTTTAACAAAACGTCTTCTTTCATTTTATTCATTTACAGTTGAAAACACATGTTCACACCCTTGTATGTAACATATATTTGAATAATAGTACATCATTTGTAATAGCTTGATGCACAGTAATAAACACGTAATGCAAAACATTACTGTGTTAAAGACAGTAATAAATAACAAGTCTATATATTCTTCAAACCAGACAGTCACTTGATATGTTATGAAGCTGGTAATTTGCTAGAATTTTGCACAAGGTGATCACATGGAACAGATTATTACTAAAAGGACACACGTAGCTGATTTATCACATCTTTTGTGATGTTGTAGCATCACACATTTCTCCAAGTAAATTGGACCGTAGGAAGATCTTCCAGAGCCGACAACCTCAGCAGTTTGGAAGGCAGTACAAGGCTTCTTTAGCTGTATTGTATTCTAGATCTGCACCTCAGGCACAATGTAATGGATGGTCCTGTCTTGTTTTATGTTTGTTAGACCAAGGACATTATCAGCATTCGCGCCAGAATTACCAAATGCAATTTCCCCGCGTACCACCTTGACATCATTTTAAAAGGGTCATTCACTCTACCCATCCAACTCATAGCTGCCAGTTTTCAATACAATGCAGTACAAAAGGTCATTTTATGTGATGATTTACATGTTATCCACGATGTCTCGCTGTTATTGCAGCATAAATACTTATTTTTCATTAAACTCCATGAAGAGATCTCAGCTCTGTATGTAGAATAGTGCATCTTGGGAAATCTACAGTGAGTAATTGCCAGACCAATTCCAAAACGTATCATCCATCAGGACAGCTTATTAGCGTGGGCGCGACTACATGGAAATATGACACAGTGGACAAAAACATAGCATATTGTAGTTTGATTTCACAACAGAGGCCTCATGGCCTCGTTGCGTCAACCCGCCAATTACGGCTTGTATAAGCGGTCATATTTACGTACTTCTTCCGACAGAAGTTCTTAAATCTGATCCGTTCTCCCGTAAACATTCTTCGTTTTAATAATGGCCGTATCGGGCTATGAAAGCGGAAATGTGAGACTCCGTAAAGGACGTAGTTAGAGGACCAATCGCTCTGAAAACGCAGAAGCATAAACTAGGCTTGATTGTGTGCATGTGTGAAGCCTCCATTTTATAGTTCTGTAGTCACCAGAAACAAGGATGCATTAAAAAAAGGGTTGTTCAATGAATAGGTTCATGTTAAAGACTTTTGGTATCATATTGCACACCTTGTAACAATATACATATTGAATCATCAGGAAAAGATGCACACCCCTTAAATGAGTATCAAACCATTTTCTCTGAAATGCCAATTAACTTTTTAAAACGAAACTAAGCCGTAGAGACTTGAATTGTTCCAGCTGATTGAAACCTCTGGACCAGGTGCAACGCTACATTAGTCGTCATTCGCCATTTAGGGGGGAAATATTGTGTGACACTGAAATACTTTTCCAAATAATAGCCAATAAATATCCCAGCCATCTCTACCCTGAGAGGGAGCAGAAGATTGGAAAATAAGGCCTCATCAATGCACAGCCACAACTCTCAGCAGAGTCCATCAGCAGGTCGTCAATGGAGACACACAGACTTCCCTTGACCCCATCTGGAAGAGCACACACTAAAGCTTTACTCTCTGCTGATGCCTTATGATGTCACATTTGAAGAATTTTAACCTCAGCTAGATGAGTCTTCAAATGGATAAAAGGTGAAGATTATTTCCACTGTGCAAGTTGTTTATTCATGGGCACCAACGTACGTCTTTTTTGGTGGCAGTAATTGGAGGAAAGAGAAAAGTGTGTAGAGCATGCTAAAGCTAAGGCGTCGCAGTAATGTCCCTCACCCTGATCTGTGTGTTTAGTCAAAGTATTCAAGAGCAAGCAACAGAAACTGCCCCTGCTCACCAGTCTCAAGCAAAACAGGAACAATCTATCAGTTATTAATGGAAATCACAATCTTAATAAGTTTAAAATAGAGGAAAAAAAGAGGTTTATTACAGCTCGTCAAACTTGTGTTGTTTTTTGTTGTTGTTTTCTCTCTGATAATTATAATATAACTACTACTATAATGGCACGATTAAACCAACACAGCAAATGATCAATCAATTATGAGCTACAAACGGGTTTTATACAATATATGTTGCAAAATTCAGCAAAACAACTCCAAACATTATTGAAAATGATGAAGAAGAAGAAGACACTCCACTATCACAAACATTCCAAACAGTATTGGAAAGGCAAAGATCTGATGAAGCCGTGGTGCAACGCTGGCGAGATCCTTTTTAAATACTGGAGGGATGGATAAGGACAACCTGCAGCACCGAAGATTACCTCCATCATCAGTCTCATCTAAAGTATGTCTACTTATTGTGTGGAAAAATCCAGTTAAAAGAAACTTGGCGTAGATTAAATGTTGTTAGTGTTATCTACGTGTTCTGGTTTGCTTTATGACCAAACTGGTTAGTTGAGGCAGAAACAAAGCATGCATCCGCTGACTACACTCTAAAAAATGTCACCGTAAATTAACGGTATTTTACTGGCAGCAAGGTTGCCAGGAATTTACCGTTATTTTATAATATAATACCGTAAATTTTTTTTTTTTTCAACACTATGTTACCGTAAAATGGATTACCGTAAACTTGAACGAATTTTACTGTGAATTAACTGCAATTTACTGGCAGTCTACGCTAGTAACTTACTGTTTTATTTACAGTGTCCTACCGTAATTTACGGTATGTTGTCGTATATTGGATTACAGTTTGTTACCATACGATTACTGCTTTTGTGTTATAAATACCAGAATGTTACCGTTTACTTATAATCGTATACTTTTGCATTTAATTCCCCACAAATTAAAGAAAGACAACCAAACTCATTTCGTCATAGTGGTTGGAGTTTATTAGATGCCTTTAAGACAAAAATGTTAGGCCTTTGCAACCAAGAACAAAACATAAAATAAGCCGCATGTATACAATAATAAAAAAATTAATCATAAAATCATTAGGAACAAGGTAAACTAACTGCAACAATGCGCTATGGAACACTTTCAATTGACCGCAGCTAATGGCTGGCGTCCTTTATCCAGTGCCTCTGTAAAACAAACCAAAATTAAATATTTAGAAACACTGTCATTGGTAAAATATTAAAATTACAAAGATGTGGAAGACAACAAGATGTAAGGAAAGAGAATGAAAGAGAATGCTAATCATGCTAGGCAAATAACACTTACCAACGTTACTTGGAGAGACAAGGCAATGAGAAACTCTTCCGATATTGAACTGCACAGGTGTTCTGGATAAACTGAGATTACGCGTCTGACGTCACGTTCAGGAGCAGTCGGTCACGATTAACACTCAAATGACTTTTAGGTAATGAACACTTTATAATCTTTACATTCCGGCCACTGAAACGACAGCGAAGGCGGTGCATGGGATAGGGAGGGTGTGCTGTGCAGCACAAGGTTGGTGGTTTGAATCCTGGCTGCTCCCTGTGCCAAGTTGAAATGTCACTGAGCAAGACACCTAACCCCCGATTACTCCAAGTAAATTATGTCAAACCATGGGCGTTTGGATAAAAGTGACAGCTACATGTTTTGTAATGTCCTGTAAGTCAAAGTCATCATCGTATCTCATGAGATACTATCTCATTATGATGACTTACAGGACCTGTTTTTCAGTGGCTGACATGGGCTTTCATACATTAACCTACAGATGTAGATGTAGATGGATTGTGATTCACTGCACTTGTATGTGTATTTCCACCACTTCATAAAATATATGTAACATGCAGTTGAATTACGGTAGTCTGCTATTATTGTAAATTGACAGCTTTAACTGTTTATTCATGACATTGGCTGTTAATTTACAAGCAAGGGATGGAAATGTAACTGTATGTTACAGTTATTATGACATACTGTAAGATACTGTTAGAAATGCACCGTAGATTTACAGCAATTTGTTACAATGTAGCTATCAATGACTTTCACAAACAGTTTCCCAATCAATCTCTGACTAAACCCCAAGAGATTGCATATTGTCTGAAGAGGAAGAACTGTTCAAAGGGCTTTTGGAAAGTAGATTAACATGTACAGTGAGGCAGAGGAGTGTTGTCTCTCTAGGGTGAGTCTGCTACAGTACAGGGTAACAGCACAGTGACTGCACAGTAATTCCTGTTGCTTAATTATGCCTTAAGGAAAAAATAGTGGTTTTAGTGAGTCGGTCTAAATTCTGCACATAAGAACAAATGTTTATAACAACTTTCGGCTTGAAAACATTTTTTTTAATGTAACAGTTAATGTTGGACATTTGATATTGAAAAATTTTACTCTAGACATTGCAATAGTTTTCAAAAAATCAAATTAAGTAAATGAATAAGACGTCCACTTCAAAAGATAACAAAGTCATTGTGTCAAATGCAAACCAGGACTAATATTAACAAGGAATTCAGTCGTGTGTGACAAAGACGAAGATGAAGAGCAAATGAGGTTTATGATCATTGGGCTGGGGATGCACTAAACAGACAATAGTTTAAAATTATTGTAAAGTCTTTCCTGCATGTAGTCGGCCAGCGGTAATGATCGGTCACATTGACAATCAGAGACAAATACTGACCTCTCCTGTAACCTGTGCTGTGTCAAGCACCTGAAGTGTACAAAAACTGTGCTGCATATTCAGTTGTGATCTCAAGGATTCTAGTAATCTACGAGGTCCGCTGAATACATAAAACACACATGATACATACAATGTGCCTACAAATATTGGGATACAAGTTTTTTTGTCCAACCCTTCAAAACAAATTATCCCTTTTGTAAGAGATTAAAGTCTTAAATAATCCTCTTGCCAGATTTCTATTTTTTTTTTTTTTTACAAACACCAGAGTATCAACACAGATATCCATCACTCCTACTCTGGATGTCATCTGTCTTGACTTTGAGATGCAGCGATTATTGCCAGTTACTTCAGACACAGCGTAGGCCTGAGATCCTGAAGGACAGCAGTCTCGTTTGGATGTTCACCTCACAACTTTCCATCTGAAAGACTTTGGGCATCCATTCTTGACCTTAGTAGTAATAGCTTCCAAAAACTACCGCCTGACAAAACAAGTTCTCCTGCAGCCAAAGGTAAAACACATGTAACATGTAAAAATTAAAATATTGAATTGAGGAGTCTGCCCCTCCTCCCCCACCTATAATCTGAATGAACAGACCATGAGGTACATACGTTTATGAAAACATCTTCTGCGTGGTTGTCCGTGTCGGCGTCCCAAAAACACCTTGAAGACATCCTGGCAAAACACATAACAAAGGCGTACATTCATTTGATTAAGTTTTGATTAAGTTTTCTGCTGGATATTTCAGAAATTGCGCATTGTGATCATATTTCAAATTGACAAAACAATGGTAATTCAATGTTGATTTTTTCTAACTCCCTAACTTCTCCTGGAATATCTGCTGGAACCCTGCAAAGAACCTAAAAGAGTTTCTGTTTTTGCATTGTTAGTGTTTTCTTCTATGTTACGGCTGTTGCATGGATAAAAAGTGTAAAGTTATATATATATATATATATATATAATATATATATATATATTAGTTTATCTTGATTCACCACTACCAAAATGATCACTTACTTGACTCCTTCTCCACGTTGTTCTCCAATTACCACTTGCACAACCAGCTTATATTTGTCAAAACCTGCGTCTGTTGAAGATGATAAATAAAGCAGTAATAATGCAACATTTTTACACGGGAATACAGGAGTGATATGCTACAATTACTTTGCAGCATGCATTTAGTGGAAAGAAAATTCCAACAGGAATATCTTTGTTTATTTTTCATTGTGTGCTGTTTCCACCTCTTAAGGATTCAGAGTGGTACTACACTGAATGCCACGTCAATCATAAGCAGTACTTAGTTTCATTATTGCCATAACGCCTTTAGTTTGTTGCCTTCACAATCAGGAGGATGGTGAATGTGTAAAAACCTTCTATGAAACACAGTGATCTTATTCCAAAAGGATGTTATAAAATAACAATAACAGCTTTTTTTCAGTGATGGAAAAAGCATCCCTTACTCTTCACTTTGTCCTTAATGCATTCTGCAAGTGAACGGGACAGCTCGGTGACTTCCTCCGGCTCGTACCTCTTCCCAGACAGTCGCTCCCTCACAATTTCACGAATACATTCCCTCACAATGGCTGGTTTAAACCTGGGAGGTTAAACAGTGAGCAACGAAGCAGGAAATCAAATGAAATCGGCCTGGTTTCCACAACTGACCAGTCTCTGCGTGGATGACTAAGCTGTACAGGTCTCCTAATAAATTATGCTTACGTTTCTATGACTGGTCAACAATACATTTGAATAATGTGTTTTACACACGTGACTGTAGCCTAGCGAACTGGCTAGCGTTAACAGTAGCCCACTGACAGCAAACGTAACGCGTCGTTCAGACCGACGTTATCCGTTTAACATTGACCTGAACCAACCTCATTATTTAAAAAGTTAACTAACGTTAAGTAAAGACAAGTTAACAAAAGCACGACAGCAGAAAACCCCAACGCAGTAATTGCTAACTTGGTTTAAAATTAAAAATCGTTAGCGATGAAGTAACGTTAGCTGGCTACAGGCTAACTAAGACCAGTAAGACCAACTCACTTGTGCTGGTGGTTGGGTCGTATTAGGTAGGTATCGGACCCCTCCATTGCTTGCTAGTAACACACCGCGAGCTACAGCAAGGAAGGGGAAAGAAAGAAACCTTAGCGTCAGATAACGCTACTTGCTCAAGAGCTAACGTTAACTAAGCTAACGTTAGCTAATGTCGTCGAAGTTCCATGCGTTACCATAGCAACGTGTTTCCCAACCTTCCGGTTTCAAAATAAGTTTGTACTGTATCTTATTTTGTAATATGCTAAAACTTTGCTTTTTCTTCCTTTGCTCTTTCAGAAATAGTCTCTGTTGGAATCATCCTGTCGTGGTTCGCACTTTCCTTTATCTGACAAAGAAAGCCTTTGATTTCCTTTTATTCCAAAATGTCCCTATCATCTACACAATGTCTTTCATTCGCTTCCTTTTTACTCCCACATGGTATAAGATCAGGGTTGATATCTTAAGAGGAAATCTGGTGGAGCCGGTTCTCTGTAGTCTTAATCATGATTTCTGAATTTCTAAAGGCCTCATCAACCTACAGTCAAATAAAAGTGGATGTCATTTGGCTTCATTCACCTGAATACAAGAGCAAATCAAGACTCCTTTCTGCATTTAAAGAGCAATCTCCAGCTATACTGGCAGAAGGGAAAGACCTCTCCTGGCACATCCTGCCCATTATCTCCTCTGTCATTGCTTTGTCGAAGATACGAATGTTGGATTTAAATGACATAGAAAAAAATGGAAAAAGTCATGTCTTTTATCAGCTATCACATGCAGAACAAGTTTTAACTATTTGCATCTACTGTAACTAATCGTACACACAGGATAACTGAAAGCAGCAAACACATTAGTTTTATTGGAATATTTAAAAGGATTCATTTTGAAATCAAGGTCTTTTGCCATTGTGTGAAAAAGCCAGAGGGGTAAACACCGCAAAAGCTGTCTAATAACATTTCATCTAACGGTTGAACATGGTGTGATTGAAGACATTCAGTGTGGATCCTCATTATCTAGAGAAAAGGGTAGAATTATGGCAGAAATAGAGTTACTCCCTGTTGTAACATTAAACTTACAAATGAGGTCAAGATGCTTTGTTATGAGCCGTGTTAAGTGAGTAGCTCTCATTGAAGACATTATGCATTTATTGTTTACTGTTAAGCACCCTATTCTATGTTTCCTACAGAGATTATTTATATGGAATCAAAAAAGGGTAAACCGTGTGGGTGGCAATGTTTGTACAATGTTTTTGTACTATTGTATATATATTTTGATATATAAAATTAAAATGGAACCAGGACAGACTGAAAGAAATGTTTGAGGTACTAATTTCTCAAAGGGGAAATCATGGGAATCAACTGTAAACACAAATTATCTCATCTATTTGGATACAATTTTGTAAATATACATGTAAGCAAGTAAGTATGTTATCATCTCCTCCATACCCAATCCTAATTCAGCAATATCCTCATGATACAGACCAGACCCCAGATTTAACAAACCAATATTCCAATCCAATCCAATCCACTTTCATTATAAATCTAACAAGGTACTCTTGTTACAGGTCTTTCGGTTTCATTTTTCTCAAACTCTCCAGTTGATTCGGGTTTCATTTACCGTGAAGTCTGTCTCGGGTGGCGTTACTTTCTCAAACGAGCTCTGATACGTCATTCTCCTTGTTTACTGTGCAGATCAGCTGTGAGTGTTTTGTCTCTTTCTCAGGATGGCACATACAGTGTGTGCTCGTCTCTTGGATGTCAACAGCAAACAATCCTAGAGATTCCTTTCGTCTTTTTCAAATAAAAAGCTATCTTTGAACAGTAGAATAACTGAATATTCAATATAATATTTGAACATATGCTGGTAAGAAGATACCCTCAACTGTATAAGAAAGATAGGACATACAACGCATACATTCATTGAAGACATGGCACCATATCACCAGCAAGTGTCAGTATTGCATCAATACAGCCGGAAAATATTTCACTTTTATTTCCCCGTCATTTCTGACCGAAGATTTCATGAGACACAAAGGTTGTAATCGTATATCAGTTGATTTACACATAATCACTGTACTTTTAAGTCTGACTTTCCTTAAAATTCTCTATAGGTCACAAAGCTGTCACGTTTAATTTCCATGAAATCTTTATTGATTCACAGTACTTTTAAGTTTCATTATCCTTTAATTGCCGGTGATAAGAGTTACAGCACATTTAAGTTTCATGTTCAATAAATTTGCATGACACGTCATTCTCACGACCTCTTTTGTGTACGTGCACATCAGCTGTCAGTGTTTACTTTCTTCTTCAGCCACCAGCACCGACAGGATGGCACTTTCAGACAAATGGACAGCTATCTTCGAGGAGAAGGCCCGTGCTTTGAAACAAGGAGACTCCTGGATTTTACAGTTTGATGACAGTCTTGTGCCTGACAGGCCGAACGCAGGCTGGCAGCAGTACATCCGGACGACATCTGCTTGGTCAGTGTGTGGGACTCCTGTTATGTCTGTAGTATGTTGTATAATACGTTAAAATGAAAGATGGTTTAGAAGATACATTTGGTTTTAATATAAATTTGCGTCAGTTTATGTACTCAAGTAATGTATTAAAAAATGTGTCTGATTTTTACGGACCAAAACTGGTGCACAACCGATACCGTAAAAAGTTAAGTTTGAGTAGCGTTAAAGGAAATGAACATTGTTAATGATAATGTTATCTCCGGTGTTACACAAGCTTGATTATTTTAGTGACATTGAGAGAAGAAATAATCTAGTGACACTTGAATGGCAGAGAAAGGGTGTAATTTTGTTAAAGGCCAAGTCCAGATGTCCTTCAACTTGTGTCATTTTTCAGGTTCGCATGCATGGATTGTGGAAGAAGCTGGCCTTCCAACCGTGTGATGGTGGTCTTTCACATGCGCCTGTCAGGTGGGCAGGGCGTCGTCAAGGTGAGGCGCTTCCGACAGAACTGCAAGGAGTGCGAGGAAGCTCCAATGGACGAGCCCGCCGTCTCCCCGGAGAACATTGACATCGTCCTGACGAATCTGATGGAGAAGATAAGAATAAAATGCTACCATGAAGACCTGGGCCAAGCAAACAGGCCTTTTGTGAAGCTGAATGTCAAAAGTCCCCATGAACCTGATCATTGTGAGGGATGCATTCAAGGCATCTGTGATAGGAGTTAATTTGCATTGCTTCTAAGCCATCATTTTTGTTAATTTAACACAAATTCACACACCCTATGATATACTACAATTATGATAACATAGATATATCATACTTATTCATAATTATCTGCATGTAGACTTTTAGATTTATTCTTGTTTGTGTCAGTGGTCTTTAAAATATTACTATTATCTTCTACCAAGCATCTAACAAGCCTTGTTATCATTTGGAATGTGGTGGATAAATAAAGAGTACATAAACATTAAACCAAATGGTATTGTATTTTCTATTTAAGTGAAAATGACACACTAAATGTATAAAGGAGTCACTATAGTAAACTGATAAGAAAACACTGCGATACTTAAATATCAAATAGTGAATTTGGACATGAGCAGTAAAAATGGGGATATTATGCATATAGCAGGCATATTCTTATGTACTGTATGCACGTCACTTCAACTGAAGAAGTGACAGAGTGTCCCCCCACACTTCATTAATAAGATATTTCCAGAGGGGGCACCTGTACATGAGGCACAGGAACACAACTGTATTTCTCTCAACGTTTCAGCACATTGTGTCCTTCATATATGATCCAATTGCAATATATGAGGCTCAAAGTCCAAAACTGTTACACAATATGAAAACAAGTTTGCAAAGGCATCGTGTGCTGTGGCTAAGTTGTGCTACCTGGAACATTTTGACAGACAACATTAATACAACATGGAAAATAGTTGGCTGGGAGGAGGTTTAGGGGGACACCTGAGGACACATGTCTCTCACAGGCCACCCACTGTTTATTTGCGTGCCACCAACAGGTGTGACACTGCATTCGGTCTTCACCTTCTGCAGGTCACATATTCTGGTAGAATACATTAACTTTGGCCCATCTTTGTGTTGTATGAAACCACCGACAGGGAAAGTAGCTGCCGTGCTGCAGTTTTCCATTTCCCACTTCATTTGCAAAGGGTTTGTCCACATCACCCCTGGCTTACACTGGCACTATATATATCTTGGCCACCAAGGCTGAATTTAGTCTTGCAAGAGTGAGTTTTGTCAGGTAAGAGAAGGGCCTTTGCCTTGGCAGTCTGACCATGTTAACTTACGGCCGGAAAACTCTCCTGCTCATATGATTGTAAACTAAAAGCTAATGTCCCAGTGAAGCGCTGTGACGATTAATCTGTGTCTTGTCCAGACGTGATACTGAAGAAACAGCTTCCATCGGACGACTGTAGGAAGAAATAACTCCTAACATCATGACCCAAAGGGTAAAGTATCTTCTCCTGGTGCATATTCGGTATGTTGTTGTGTGAAGCTAAATACAGCAGCAGTTTTAATGAACCATTTTATACATAATAACAACTAATTTATAATCGAAAACAAAACAGTTTCAATGCTTTAAGTTGCTTAGATTACTTTTTTTTATTTTATTCTAGTGTGTCCCTCCGTCAGTCAGGCCCACTGTGTTCCTGATTCTCATGCTAATGCCAGGTAAGCTTTTTGGTCTGCACAATTTTGACTTCCGGCATGCGCATGTCAAACGTTTCTGTCAAGGAAGATAACCATCGAGGTAAAATAGAATTAAACAGCTCCTGAAAACGTGCACTGGTACAGGACAGCTGTTTTGTTGGAAAATAAGCTGAAGCATGTTAACGACTGGGCTGGTTTTTGACCCTTCAGCGGTTGGCGGTGCCTTCCTGGTGAACTGCTCTGAGCCGAACCAACCCGCCTTGCTGGACGCTCTGCGTCCGATCTTTAACCTGAGCTCCATACGACCCGTCATGAACATGACAACCTGCACCAACATCAGCACACACTTCACCATGTATGGGATACTCGGAGTGGTATGTTTCAGCCCTCAGCAGATACGAGTCAGTTTCATTAATGTTTATACTGAGTACATTTCCGGGCTCCACTGAGACTTCCTTGAGTATTGAGTATCCCGCAAAACACACAATAAACACTGTAGCTGTGTTTGTGTCTTAAAGCAGGTTTTCTTGTCTTCCAGGAAGAAAAGGCTCAACTCTTGATTACTTACCTTTGGCTAACTTCTGTATGTACTGCAATTATCTATCTTCATTTCTCACTCAGTGATGTAGAGATATTTGTGCGGTTATTGTTTTTAATGACGTGCACTGACACCAGCTCTGTGGGTTTTAGTGGTGGATGAACGAGCATGTCAGCTGGGACCCAATCCAATGTGGCACTGACTCGATTTCTCTTCCCAGAAACCTGTTTTGGACGCCAGATATTGTCATCAACGAATTGTGAGTACATAATATGTTTATATATATGTAAAACTGAACTAAATTAGGAAACATAGATGTTTAAATGGCCAGCTAATTTTCCAAAATGTTTTTACCAAATATTATTCAGATATATAATGGACATTATTACACATGTGGTGGTCCAAAGAGTATTTCCTGGAAACAGCACGTTGTATTTGGGTTTAACTCAAAAGTGTCCAAGTTTGCTGAAATAAGGGGAAATGTGATTTCATGTGAGCGGCAAAACTGCCATTATTTGTTTAGAGGTTTTTTTTTTGCATTTTATACATTGATAAATCATTTAGCAGATGTTTGACTCATACCTCCTCTGCTTGTTCCTGTCTTGCAGCATGGATGAAAACACAGCCCCCTTTGTCCCATACGTGTACCTGTTTAGCAATGGCAGAGTGCACGATGCTCAGCCGGTCAGAGTTGTCAGCTCCTGTAACCTTGACATCTACACTTTCCCCTTCGATATTCAGAACTGCTCTATGACTTTCAACTCCTACATCCACTATGGTAAGTTACTTCCCCAAACGTCTTGGCAGTAAGTCATCTTTGGGCTTTTGTGAGCAGTAATGCATGTTTTAATACTGTAGACACTTACAAAGGAAAGAAATACACTTGATATTGTGTTATATGTGCTGGCCAATGTTTTTGTTATTGCTGTTTTAAAGTAATTGAGTAAGATATAAACCATACATAGTCATTTATTTTAAAATATTTCTGTTATGTCTAGTGGATACGTAACATGAGCTTGACATTACTGGATATCATATTTCACTATTCCTACGCTCCCAGCGCGGGACATAAAGATTTTCCCGGGGAGAGATGGAGATGAAATAACAACATTTTCCAAGGAGGTGATGACCACCATGGGGGAATGGGAGCTGCTGGATATCACCTCCCACAAATACGTCCCAGATGTTTCTGATGATTACATTGATGAACTCATATTTCATGTAGGTTGATTGTCTGAAAATTGCAAATATTGCACCTCAAATTGCATTTCAGTCTCAGATTTAAGTATTTAGTTTGAAGCAAGTGTGTAGAAGCTATTATTATTAAGTTATTGTCTAATATGAATAATTACTTTAGCATTTTCTCCAGTTTTACTTGCGTTCGTCCTGTTATAAATATCAGTCTCATTCATTAATTGTGCAGAATTGTGCAGGGTTCACAAATGTGCACAGAATGGATACCGGACAACGTGTTTTACAACTTACCTCGACAGGTCCGAGTGAGGCGGCGTGCCACCCTCTATGTGGTGAACCTCCTGATCCCCAGCTGCTTCCTCATCACAGTGGACCTCTTCAGCTTCCTGCTGCCTCCTCAGAACGTGGATCGCTCCTCCTTCAAGATGACCCTCATCCTGGGCTACACCGTCTTCCTGCTCATCATGAACGACCTGCTGCCCATCACTGGAAACACCATACCGCTCATAAGTCAGTGTTATTCCGACTCATTTGTATCTGGCTGTAAATGTGATTGTTTCATCTGTTGCTCTAGATGTTTCAGAATGAGTGGAGTCTGTCAGCTATCTTGTTGTCTAGAGTGTAAACAACGATATAATGATGATGCATCGTCTTTATTTCACATCAGCACAGCCAATTCACAAGTCTAGCACAAAATGTTATTTGGATGAAAAACTACCATCCTTTGTTTTTTCACTCGTTCAGTTAAAGTTAGTATAAGGAACTTTTACGTTATGTTGATTTTGGAGGCCCCCTGTGGACAAAATGGGTGGTGTTTCCGAGCGCAAGACTCCCATTTGAAAACCTCTCACAGGCTTTGGTCCTCTGTACTATTTACATAAAATAATTTAAAGAAAACATTCCTCTGGTTCTGGCAGATGTGTTCTTCTCTGTCTGCCTGGCTCTGATGGTGGCCAGTCTGCTGGAGACCATCCTCATCACCAACCTGCTCTGTGGCTCAGCTGACTTTTCTCCTGTCCCTCGCTGGGTCCAAGTGCTTGTTCTGGAAATTCTGGGCCGTCTCGTTTGCCTCCGTCAGTGGACGAAAGAACCAAGAGATTCAGGTGATTAGATGTATACTGTACGTTTTGAAATGGATCAATACAGAATATTATTTGATACGCATTCACCACATTGTAGAAGTACCGTACATGTAATAGTACTTTTTAAACTTTCTTTTTGCCTTGAAAACTAGAAATGAAACCAAACGCGGCACAGCAAAAACCTGATGATGAGCTTTCAGCGGAGATTGGGACGGTGGTGGGGGGCGGGGCCCTTCAGGAGCTGAGGAGCCTGGGTAAGAACCTCCAGGCCATCCGCCTGCAGGTGGAGCAGCAGCTGCGTGGAAGCAAAGGCCGGGAGGACTGGATCCAGGTGGGTTTCATCATAGACCGCCTGCTGTTCGGCCTCTACATCCTCTTCATATCAGTCAGCTTCATTACCATCATCATTATCTGGGCAAACTCATATAGTCAGTAGACGACTGCAGTCTATTTGAACGGGCTCCATTTATTTATTTGAACAATACTTTATCGTTTTGTTGTTTTCTTTGGAGACACTTTTACGTACTCTATATTGTATTATTAATAATAACAAATGGTCCTATTATCCTTATTGGACAGTAAATTAAGTCTACTACATTAATTAGATGTACAAGCCTTCTGTGTTACATTGTGCCATTACATTGAAGGAAAACATTGTATACAAAATAAAATTACTTGAAAAGATTATTTCTTTTGATTGACATTCATTTCAAATATAATAATCCAATGTTCCAATTGTTGACCTATTTATTCATTCATTTTTATGCCAGTTTTGGATCCTTACTGTAGATTCATCTTAAACAAACCAAATCTTTGAAATGATCAAAATCTCTCTTATCATACAGAGTGAACTAATCTTTGAGTCCGTATCAGACTAATATCAGTAGTCTTTCATGATTCTAACCCAATCATTCTGCATTACTCAGGTCAGGTACTGATATTGTGTGTCTGGTCTCAGCTCATAGTCACCGTGAAGGTTGTGGGTTGGGTTCAGGTGAGCGACAAAGCAGGAAGCACATTGTTGTTTAAAATATAATTGAATGTAGTATCATCAGCAGGTGCCTGACGATAACCCAACATTCATCTCCAAAGTTTTGGCAATACATTGTATCCCGTTTTAAAGTAGCCTGAATATCTTACATGAACTGCTACATAACTTCAATAGGCAGAACTCCCCAAGATGTGAGCATTACGGTTAAATAATTTATGTATACATCAGCATTAATGTTGAATGCTTGAAAACTCACAATTTTCCTTTTAGATTATTAAAATATATGCTTATATATTCATATCTAGATATTGTCTGATATCTTTTACTATTACTTTTGGGACTATATGCAATTCTAGGTTTCTTTGGCGAATCAACTTTCTTTCAAGATTTAAGCCTTCAAATACTATTAAAATGATAGTTTTGCCATCTATTATACATATACAACTTTACAGGACAGCCCTAAAAAGCAGCACACCACTCGGACTAACAACCGCTTTTGACCCAATGTTAATGTTTTTAGTGCTGCCCGCTGCAAGTCAAGCCTGCTAAGGTTCTTTTCATCTTCCTCATCTCTGTGCTCATGCATGGTAAGTACAGCACCTACTCTATGGTAAAGTGATATATATATATTCCGTAGGGGAATTATAAATCATATTTGTTGAACATTATTACCCATTTTATCAGTAGATGTGATTTTTTGAAAAGTGAAGTTGCGAGCCTTCTTATTTTACAGCTTATCAGTTCACTAAAATATGTTTGCCAATGCAATAACATAATCTTTAGCTCTGTCTAGATAAACAACATTCCGGTCGCGTGTGTTTATTACTTTACAGTTACTAGCTTTACCTTTAAATTGTAAATAGCTCCAGTGCAATTTGTGAGCACCTGTTTCTTAAATGAAAAAGGAACAACAATGTTCTTTTAGGGTACATTTTGATGTTTTTAGCGCTGCTAGTTTGTGCAGCTAATCTGCTCCAACAGTCACAATTGCGATTCATTTGTTCTTCCGTAGCTCCCTGTGGTTCTGTCATGCTAAACTGCTCTCAACCTGACCCGCCTTCCCTGCTGTCGGCTCTCGAACCCGCCTTTAACCTCAGCTTCATCCGACCCGTCGTGAATATGTCAACGCCCACCACCGTGGGCATTGGATTCACCCTTTATGCCATTATGGGGGTGGTAAGGGACCCTGCATTACTCTAAAACCAACTGCGAGACTTACTTTAATCTGTTTCAGTATCTGTGTGGTCTTTCCATGAAAAAACATTTCTGTAAGGAAGGAATGCATACAACTAAACTGTTAACATACTAAAACTAAAACTGTTGGGTTCTTTTACAGGATGAAAAGGCCCAAGTGCTGAAAACATTCATATGGCAAAGTTTAGTAAGTACTTGCATCAAGGTTGTAGGTTTGGATAGTAGATCAAGTTTGGAGGGATTCCTACTGTGTAACAGCAACAAAACACTACATGATGTCACCCACTACAAAGTAATATAATCGTCAATCTGGAACGGTTTGGGAAATTAAGACAATAGTGTGCCGCTCACCTCTGGTAAATGACCTGAAAGCTGTAGAATTCTACTCAACGTAGTTTGTGTTGTATCCGTCTCATTCATGCTGCAGAGATGGAGGAACGAGTTTATCAGCTGGGACGCAGAACAGTGCGGATCCAAATCGATTTCAATTCCAAGGAATCTGCTGTGGGTACCAGATATAGTCATAAATGAATTGTAAGTACCATCACAGTGCAGTTGTATTTTTGTGCTGACTTCATACCTTTATATCAGTGGGCTGACCGAGATTGGCTACTCTAAGATAATACACAAACTTTGCTTACAGGTTACACTCATGCTACATTTGCTGTACGGTTGTTTGTATTTCTACAAAGAAAGCAGATATTAACAATAATATTGTTGTACCGTCCTGCAGTATGGAGAAGAACTCGGCTCCGTTCGTCCCGTACAGTTATCTGTTGTCTGACGGCTTAGTGATCGACGAACAGCCGGTCAAAGTGATCAGCTCCTGTAGGCTCAACATCTACACCTTTCCGTTTGACGTCCAGACCTGCAGTTTAACCTTCAACTCCTACCTGCACGTTGGTAAGTAGAAACAGATGCACATCATTTTTGTTCAATACAGATTGATGGGGGGGGTGGGGGGTCCCTTAGTGTGCTTTTGTCAATCGAATTCGGAATAAGGACATTATAAATGAATCAAAATCTCACCGAATCATTGACTATATTGTATTTGGATTTCAGCAAAGGCTCTGCAGATGAACCTGTCACTTAGTGCAGCAGACATATTGCAAAACTCTAAAGAGGCGATGACGACTATGGGTGAGTGGGAGCTCGTGGGACTCACATCGTCGTCAGTCTTTCTACCAGCTATGGATGACGAAATGTACCAAGAGATGCGCTTCTTTGTAAGGAAACAATGCCGACTGTAACCTTATTGTATGTTACACAACATTAAAGATTTCATTTTTAATTAGTACAATAAAAGTATGAGTCCATCACAGAGTACTAACAGTTACCCTACTGACGCATGACCATCATTATACACATACGTCATATGAACATAAATAATGTCTGTGCAACTATTACACTGCAGGTATTAAACTGATATAGGTATTGACTTGTTTTCTATTCACTCTAAAACAAGAATATGGATTTGAGTTCCATACAAATCTAAAATATGAATTATCGTTCACCAGCTGCTGTTTCTGTCGGCGCTGCTACAGGTGTGTGCAGGGTTAACAGATGCGCACAGAATGGGTACCGGACAACATGTTTTACAACTTACCTCGACAGGTCCGAGTGAGGCGGCGTGCCACCCTCTATGTGGTGAACCTCCTGATCCCCAGCTGCTTCCTCATCACAGTGGACCTCTTCAGCTTCCTGCTGCCTCCTCAGAACGTGGACCGCTCCTTGTTCAAGATGACCCTCATCCTGGGCTACACCGTCTTCCTGCTCATCATGAACGACCTGCTGCCCACCACCGGGGACACCATACCGCTCATAAGTCAGTTCACGATACCCACGGCTGCTACAAAAGAAAAGGAAAATTCAGGGAAAGAAAATGGTGCAGTTTATTGATAAAACTAGTCAGACAAATTTCGTGGTAACAACACATTTAACTGCAAAAAGGGCAAATGTTTTAATTTTGGGAGGAGTGGAGATAAAAACAGAGCTAAAAATTAAGTGAATATTGAACTTAAAGAAACAGTGTGTACAGGTTTTGAAAGGTATCTTTAGGATGTTAGTACAACTAGGACCTGTTCTTATCAATATTCTGTTTCATAATAATAATAAATACATAAAAAGACATATATAATAGAAAAAATTTAAGAAAATGCACAACAAGTTAAAATGTTAAAATAACTCATTATACTGTTTTTGGAGTATTAACAGTTATACATCAGTAAAGCTACTATGATAAAGCTGTTAATAAACAAATATAAAATTATACTAAGGTGTTTGCTGGTATATTCAACAGACTGTATTAACTTAAATGTGGTAATGCTAGATGTCAATGACCTTTAATGCTTGGAATTTTTGGCATGGATTTAATTAAGTAATGTATATATACATATACATTTTTTTATATATATAGTTTTTTTTAAATAATAAGTGTTTTTTAGAATATATATTATAAAAAAGCACTTATTATTATTCTAACAATCTTCATTACAATTATTCCAGATGTGTTCCTGTGTCTGTGCCTGTCTCTGATGGTGGCTAGTCTACTAGAGACCATCATCATCACAAACCTGCTGTGCGGCTCCCTTGGCTACTCTCCCGTCCCGCGCTGGATCCGAGTGGTTGTTCTTTCCATCCTGGGTCGCATGGTACGGCTTCCTCCCAAGCCCGCAGATCCAGAGGACACAGTCATCCAAAATCCTGCCGCGCAAGGTATTATGTAGGATTTAGGATGTGGTTGGACACATTTCATGCAAGTCATTTTCCAAAACGTGCTTTGAGTCAATACAAGTTCCTTCCTCATATCACGTACCGCAGAAGTGAAGGTCTTTTCTCTGGCGGCGGCGGACGGTGAGGTTTCACAACAGAAAGGGCCGCTGGATGAGGACAAGGCCCGGAAGGAGCTGAGGAGCATAGGCAGGGACCTTCTGGCCATCCGCCTTCAGGTGAAGGAACAGCTGGGGAAAAGCCAGAGCTCAGAGGAGTGGATCCAGGTAGGATTCATCATCGACCGCCTGCTGTTCTGCTTCTACGTCCTCTTCATATCAGTCAGCTTCATTACCATCATCATTATCTGGATCAAGTCAACCAACATATCCTGATTTTGCTTTGCTTTGACTGAACGTGTTTTCTCAAAGTCATTGTCAATTACTACCACTAAGCATAAAATAATTGTGTAATTAAACTCCTGTGGACTTCTACCCTGCATTGTCTCGCAAACCAGATTTTAATCCTTAACAATTCCAAGAATTCTTGTCAAAATTCATGTTTTTTTTTCCTGTAATGTGATGCATTAAGACACAATACAAAATATTCTAAATGTAAACTGCTCCGGTTCCTTCTTTGCATTCATTTTGATATGGACGGGAAGTTGCGCACCTTCCATTTTGTCCGACCAAGGGGGAAGAAATTCATTTTGACAGTAATAAAACAAGCAGCTGTGGTCTTTCTGGAAAAAAAACATCTCTTGTGTGTGTCTTCTAATGTGTAAAACCAAATATGATTTTTCACCTCTAGTGGGGATGATGGTGTTTTCCAAGCGTGTCATATTTTGTTAATTAAATAAAGGTTCAATTCATTTATTTGTTTCCATGAATTCATATATTTGCACAGAGGAAAATGTTTTATGTTTTATGAGATCCCTACTCATTTGAATGTACTAAAGCTCAAAAGCTTGGGACCGTAGGCCCGGGTTTAAAAGAATGTTGAGAGCTTTGCCTTCAGGCTCATCTCCATCTTCTCCAGATAAGTTTGAGTCTGTACATCAGTCTGTCCGCCGATCTCACACTCACCATATACGTTTCCTATGACACCTAGGAGCGATTCTGAAATTATATCAGGTACAAACAAGTTGGAAAGCAAAAGCGATATTGATACCAGGTCAGGCAGACTTTGTGATAGTGTTGTCAGAATTTTAAAAATAGCATAAAACCAAAATGAGCATGTGGTTTGACGCCACAGCACTGGAGAAAGGAACAGATTGTAACTCCCGTAGGTGTAGGTGTTGAAAAATAAAATGGTTGAGTGCTTACCGGAGGTGTGGAACAACAAGTCTTATCGTGTTTTGTATGTTTGTGATACATCTGCACATACCCCAATTTTTATGGGTTTTCATTACCGTTCATTTATATATTTGCATTATTGGATCATCCTCAGGTGTGCTTATTGGAAATGTGAGGGTTTTTCTTTCTATATTTTACCTTTTTACCTTTTTTTTATTACTAATGCACAGTATATATCTAAATATATATATTATATTGTACTTTTATACATTACTCACATTATCGGGACTCATTTAGCATTTCGGTACGAAAAGCTAGAATCTACAAAGCAAACCAAATTGTACTACTACGGTTAGTCATGTGGTGGTTGCGGTGAAGTCTCCAGAGAATCGATGTTAGTCATTTCATCGTCCTGCTATGCGACAAAAACAAGAGTCTGTGCGTTTACACTGCCAGGAGGAGCTCGCTGTGCTTTACACCTTATTACATCGTCGGTTGTGGAGGATAGATAGACCTTCAGAAACGTCGAGCATGAGTGAGTCCAAGAGGAGTATTAGCATCATCTTAGGTTTGCTCTTAATGTCAGGTAATGAGAACTTTATTTTATTTCCTACTTCATTGTTGTTCTATTAAGTGTACGCATTTTATTTTATTGAAACTTAAACAATTCTCTTTCTGTGAATAACAAGCGATACTGTTGTTGTTATTATTATTGTGGTATTATTTGTAAGGTGCTGATGCTCATCTCTGCTGTTTTGCCTGGAAAACTTTTAATTGCTTGCATATGAGAATTTATAAATGGAGAAAAAACCGTTGATTTCCTATGATATAGTTGTGCAAAGTAATATCACATTTTGATACAATGACAATTCAAAACACATTTTTCTGGTTGGGGTCAGTGTCATTATGTTGCAGTAAACTGTCCTGTAAAAAAGGCCACAGTGGTCCAACCCATGAGTCCATTCAGGCTGTGTTTGACCTGGAAGCCTTCCGGCCAGCAGTGAACCTCAGCAATCCCACCATAGCTAACATCTCCTTCACCCTCTATGCTGTCCTGGGGGTGGTGAGTTCCTCAGTTAGACATCTATCAATCAATCAACGCATTTTTAGTCTTAACTAACCTGATTTACTTTATTTCAGAATGAGAAAACCCAAATACTCACTACGTTCTTGTGGCTGAGACAGGTAAATTGCATGAAAGGACATACTGTAACATATGAATAAATGTTATGCTACGATATTCATCATCACTTACAGGGAAACTTTTTAAACAAAGGAAAACATATATCCGATTTATTCACTGCAGTACTGGCACCATGAGTTCCTGGTTTGGGACCCGGATGAGTGTGACGGTGTCACCAAGATTTCTCTCCCTGTGAAGAAGCTCTGGTCTCCAGACATCATAGTTTACGAGTTGTAAGTTTTCGGGCTGGTTGCTTTTCTCTACTTTTAATGAATCCCTGCCAATATAGTAGACACAAACTAAACAATTCATTACAAAGTAGTTAACGCCGTGAGACGGATGGGTGAACTTAGGAGCCGTTCACATTAAGTTAAATGGCACTGTCTGTGGCTGATGTTTTGCACTAAAGCAAACCCAATAGAGCTATAGGCGGCTTGCACAGTATGATCTATGGATGCAAGCGGGTCCAGTGACAATCGGATAATGAGAAAATGCAAACTGCGGTGTCGTGATCTTGTGAAATAGCTTTATAATTGCTACATGTTCTCCCTGGGGTAGTGCAACATCATCCTCATAGGATGCCGTAATCAGCATTGCAGTTTCCCGCTGGTACAAAGAGCTGTAATGGATCCACTCCAAATCTAATTCTGTTTATTTCTTTTACCGCCCGACTCCGCCAACGCTCCCAGCGTGGATGACGATGTCTCCCAAGCTTGCCCTTACGTCTACGTCAACCACACAGGTCACATCCGCTGGGACAGAATGCTGCGGCTTGTCTCGGCCTGCAACCTGAAGATCTTCAGTTTTCCTTTCGACATGCAGAATTGCTCATTCACTTTTGGCTCCTATATGCATACTAGTAAGAACATGCTTCTTAACATTTACACAAAAAGTTCTCCGGTCCTTGGCCACTGTTTAACAAATGAAACTGATATCTGATATCTGTAGAACTCACTGGTTTTACCGTCTCTGTTGTGATTTTCTCTTTCACAGTAAGGGACGTGAGGCTCAGTCCAGCTTTGAGCTTTCAGGAGATGTCTCAAAACTCAAAGCGTTACCTGGAAGCCAGTGGGGAGTGGGAACTGGTGGACATACTGGGAGAGGCCTCCATCCTTCAGTTTGGGGTCGACGAATGGGACATTATCACCTTCTGGGTGAGAGGAGCTTAACTGAGTTTACTACTTTTCTGTAAATGCTGTAAATAAAACGTAAGCTACTACACTACTCTCATAACACGAGGGACACGATTAGAGGCTGTAATTATAATTTGCTCCCATGTTGAAAGATCCTCAATTGCAGGTTTAACACAGACTTCACAATGTCTGATGCAACTGTTTCCTCAAGAAAGGAAAATAGGTGACGAGACTTTCCCAAAATTACACTTGTCCCCCAGGTGGTCATAAAGCGGCGGCCGGTGCTCTACGTGGTCAATCTGCTGATCCCAAGCTCCTTCCTCATGCTCATCGACATCCTGTCCTTCTACCTGCCCCCCCACAGCGTGGACCGCGCCTCCTTCAAGATGACCCTCATCCTGGGCTACACCGTCTTCCTGCTCATCATGAACGACCTGCTGCCCAGCACAGCCAACGGCACGCCCATCATAGGTGGGAGACATCACCTGGAGCACTATTGTAGCCTGGGTCCTGGGTTCCACCATCATCGGCGATGGCCTTTTCTTTTTTATACCTATGTTATTGTGTTTTATTGAGATGATTATGGGAGTTTTAAAAATAAATTGTACAGGACATACGGTGTCTAACACTTTAGACCAGTTTAATCTGGTTGTGTCGCTACATCATGGAGTTAAAAATCATCCAATCAAAGGGTTCTTTGCTTTCTTTTAAGTGGGTTGCAGATAAATGAATGAGTCGATAGAATGGACCAAGCGTCCTGTTAACTCTTTGCTTGTTATACATATGTCCTCAATGTGTATCCTTTGATATCTCAATCCGCCCTTCAATCCAGGTATCTACTTCTCCGTGTGTCTGGCCCTCATGGTCATCAGCCTTTTGGAGACGGTCATCATAACTAATGTCCTCCACCATAACTCCATGAAATACAAGGAGGTCCCAACCTGGGTAAGGGTTGTAGTCCTCAAACACATCGCCAACCTCATCTGCTACCAGTGGCCGGAGCACGTCAAGGCACCCGCTACACCACAGAAGGATGAACCTGAAATTTTAAATGGCGATTCTGGGGTGTGGGTCGTCCAACCAGCCAGCCGGACGCCTGCACAGGACCAAACCAGCAGCCTAGGTGATCAAACTAAAAGGAATGATTACTTTTACTGAGCTTCCCAGAGAATACTACTAGCCATCTATTCTAACAAACGAAAAATAAGAATATTGAAGGGAAATAAATGATAGAACATCTGCATTCTCCAACAGTGAATCACAGTCAATTTAACCTTTCAGACAGCAGCACAATAGTTCTGTTCCATCCTTTGCCGTTTCCTTTGCTGTTCCCCAGGTGCAGCTGCTCTGCCTGAACTGCAACAGATCTGTCGATACCTGGGAGACCTTCATGACCACCTCACCTCAATGCACAAGGAGAACGAGCTGCATGGACCAGTGGTGCCATGTGGGATACGTCCTCGACTTCCTGCTCTTCCGCATCTATACTGCTGTTCATCTCCTGTTACGCGCTGGCCTTCATCTCAATGTGGTGCGGCTGGCTCAGCCTGACCTAAGGGAGAGATTCAGGGTCGAGTGCCAGGGAGACCTTCATGACCACCTCACCTCAATGCACAAGGAGAACGAGCTGCTGGACCAGTGGTGCCATGTGGGATACGTCCTCGACTTCCTGCTCTTCCGCATCTATCTGCTGCTCATCTCCTGTTACGCGCTGGTCATCATCTCAATGTGGTGCATCTGGATCAGCCAGTCCTAAGGGAGCGATTCAGGGACCAGTGATAGGTAGTAACAAATGAAAAGAAAAAAAATCTGTGTAAGTAGAAGATAAAACAAAGTCAATGGCATAGCAAGTCCCACTATAACCCTTCATATCTGTACCGTTTCACCTTTGACCGTAGATAATAAAATACAATTAAAAAAGCATGTTGACATTTCTTTGTTTAAATGTGCATGTTTCCTTGTTTACTGGTCTCCAAACCCATCTTGGCTTTGTCCTTTTCTATGACATAATCAGCCGTCTTCCTTTCAATCTTTTCTTGTTACAGTCAATGGGAATTATATATAAAGACATGAAATTAACAGGCAGCCGCATTGTTGACTTTCACTGCAACTCTGTGGAAACAGTGTTACAGACAGACTGAGACAGTCTTGTCCTCGTCTTTCCTCAACTGTCAGAAATTTGTTGACACATCTAATTCCAATCCACATGAAGATGATTCAAAAACCAGTTGTGTTATGCAAACATCGTGCAAACAGAGCCATCAGAAAACTGGATATACCCGATAGTTTGTCATGCTGCAGTCAGGCATGTTCTACAGTCAATATTAGCCCCTGGAGGAGGTTACACATTTCATTTTTGACTATAAATACATACATGTTCAATTTTGCACATCAGCTCAATCTGCTGGAGCAGACTGCCGACAATTTTTACTCTGTAATCTGAGGGACTTCTGAAGATAAAGGCTTAACTGAGAGAAAATGACAGTTGTGAAACCTGCTGAGCTCATCTTCATCTTTTCAATGCTGCTTCATGGTAAGACAATATTACTATCCACAAAGTATGAAAAAGAGTACTTGTAAGTTAGTTACATGGCTAATTCAGTTACTTCAGGTCCTGTACAGTGGGAACCTCACTCTAACATAACAACATAATGATGAGAAAGATTTAAAATCTAGTTTGATGTTTATGTTAAAAAGTTAAAATAAATATAATATATATATATATATATAATACATTATATATAAATATAATATACAGTGCATGTCAAAAGTTTGGACACTTTTAATTGAATGAGAAAGTGTGTCCAAACTTTTGACTGGCACCGTACCTGCCATCAGTTTCCGTAATTATACAATAAACATGTGACTAAATTAGTTCAGTATTATATAAATTTCTATTTTATTCCTTTTATATATATTTCTAGATTTCCAGATGGGTTTAATTCTGTGCTTAATATTCCGTAACTGAAGCCACCTTCATAAAGTATAATGACCTTTCTAAACAAGTATATTTGATGAAATATTTCTACTTCATTGTTATTAATAGCAGTGTGATGACAGAAAATTAATTATTTTGTTGTCAGGATGTGAAGAAAAATTCCCTGGGTGTTGTTTATTATCTGTTAATAAAGACGTTGGTCACAACTTGTGAAGCTTGTGTCACACGTCCAAATGTCACTATGCCACAAACAAGGAAAGAGAACCCACTCTCGTATTTGGACATTTATCCTGATAAGGTGATTTCCCTTTTTCATGACAATTAGCTTGTTATCACAATAAAAATAGACAATAATTCACTTATGTTCTCAAGAAAAGCAGGAAAGCCACAGCCGTTCTTGACTTCCCCGTTATGACCATGTTGTTAACAGCAGATGAAGATCTGTGCTTCTGTCAACACACCAATACAAATATGGTGGTTCATAGCCATCTCTCAACTGGTGTTTTCTACTTTCTCTTTAAACACAGGTATTGCAGCAATGTTGAATTGCACAAACCCAACTCCTGAATCTTTGTTTGCTGAACTTGGGAATAATTTATTCCCTAAAAATCTACTGCGACCTGTGAAAAACTTTTCAACTCCAACTAACATAACCATTGGTATTACCGTGGTGGGGATTCTAGGAGTGGTAAGTCTACTCAAACAGCTTCTCATGCCTGCACATGAGCCCACAAGTATTGCTTTTTTAATGAGGTTTATATTAATTGGTTATACAATTCATAATTAATTATCACCACTCTAATTCATTTAAAAGATGTGTTTCATCAACAGGATGAAAAATCCCAAACCCTGACAACACTCCTGTGGCAAGTTCTTGTAAGTTCGCAGAGGACTAACAAATGGTCTCCATCCACGTAAATGCACTGTGTGCAGATTTTTACTTGATTATATCATCTTTAAAATGCTCATTATTATATACATTCTGGTTTGTAAACTTTAAGTGTTGTTTTTTTTATATTACTTCTGGCGGGTGAGATATTTGCTGTTGAAATACAAACAACAAATTTACCATTGAAATTTAGTTTTATTATTCAAATGAATGGCATTTTCAATGCTGTTTTCCCATTGGTGTGGTTCTGTTTACTAGGAGTGGGACATCGAGGGACTGAGCTGGGATGAGAAGGAATGTGGCACTGAAAGAGTCTCTGTCCCTCGAGAAAAGCTTTGGGTCCCAGATGTCCATATTGCAGAGCTGTAAGTTAAAAGATTACTAATTAACAGGACATCTCCTGTAGTCTGTGGGCTTTTTCAAATTTAGATAAACGAGCCTTGGAAGGCAATCTTTGACATTGCAAATCTGATAAGAGATAAACCTCAGTGAAGGTATAATATCAAGCTGTTTGGTACGGTTTGGTTCGCTGTTTGGTACTGAAAAAAAGTTTAAACTATTCCATTTTTAGGGATGTAAAGACTCGTTTCAGTTTTATTTCATTTGGTTAAAGACAAAAGGAACTATCCAATTGAGTGGATTTGGGGGAGCCTAGTGGACAACTAGGCTGTTGTCCACTAGTGTTTCGGAGCACTTTAAAAAAGCTCACATTCTACTGTAGCTCACAGTCTTCTACACGCACTCCCAGTTCTCAATCTTTCTTAATTGAAATAAGGATAAATATTTAAAAATCCATCAGCAATGAAAAACATGCTGTTAGAGAGAGATATTAACCTTCTGGCAATTGAATTCCTCTCTTCTTCTTATCTTTACCTACACTGCAGATTTTATCGTATGTCTTATACAAATACTGCCTTGCTTTGCCTTGTCTTCTGATAAAGTGAATTCATTTATTAATCCATAATACATTGGTATTCTTTTCTATTTCAGCATGAATGAGGACATGTCTCCTAAAACTCCCTACGTCTACTTATTTAACACTGGTCATGTATATGACGATAAGCCGATAAGAGTGGTCAGCTCCTGCCGATTAGTAATCTACACGTTCCCTTTTGATATCCAAAACTGCTCTCTGACCTTTGGATCATATCTACACTTTGGTAAGACGCCGTGAATATAAAACACAGTTGGATCTTTTAACGATGCGGATAAATGTCTTGTGTTTACGGATGTGTTTAAATTGGGCCTGGACCGAATTAAAAAGAGTTCGCCATCGTTTTCTTGTCCCACATTAACATTATTTGACGGTATCTACCTTGAGACAGACTTCTGAAAGTGAAATTACATGTTATTCAAGCCACAGATGTAAGGATGATCCAAGGCACCACAGCTGAAGAGATACTGGCGGAGTCGCACAATGTGCTGGAGACCAATGGGGAGTGGGTGCTCGCAGATATCACCGTGGCTTCTTCTAACCTGGCCTTAGATGTGGGAAGCTACTCTGCGATCGAATACCATGTAAGCACTTTTTATAAAAAATATGTTCATTGTTTTTCCGTTTGCAAATCGCATCAAGTGTGAAGTCAGCTTAAGGCAGACAGTATACAGCCAAATATACTGCATAAGTTCCAGGCTACTGCTGACAGTATATCATTGTATTTTTATTTGAAGATATACAACCAAAGATTATTATTACTAGTTCATGTTCTTTGTTCCTAACCTGCACCTTTCTTAACCCTTGCAAAACCTAGAAAATCAAAATATTCATGTTGGTTTTTTTTATTTTGTGCCTAGTCAAACCGATCTAAAATAGTGAGGCAACGTGGATCCAGTCCTGGCTACGCAAACCGTTTAAATGACTGTGTAGAAAAGAGGCTGCCGAGCTCGAGAGGAGCAACCTGGCTCTCTGTCCACACATTACCAGCCTAATCAAATTAATTAGGCTAATTAATTAATTATGCAATTACTACGTGAGACGAAACCTAAAGTGAATCATTTGGCATCCAATTACGGAAAGGAATGAAGATAAATGATGCTCGAAGTGTGCTTCAAATGTCAACGTCTCCTCCCAAGATCCTTTTGAGACGCAGGCCAACCGTCTATGTGGTGAACCTCCTGATCCCCAGCTGCTTCCTCATCACCGTGGACCTCTTCAGCTTCCTGCTGCCCCCCCACAGCGTGGACCGCGCCTCCTTCAAGATGACCCTCATCCTGGGCTACACAGTCTTCCTGCTCATCATGAACGACTTGCTGCCCGTCACCGGGGAGACAACGCCGCTCATCAGTGAGCCACACCGCGAACATTGTTACTCGCTTCACTCGACCACCAAGCTCAATGCTGCACATGTGCTTTTAAAGCTTATATCCTCACCAACATATTAACCAGATTGCTGGTGAACGTATATCTGTGTGCGTTGGCCGGTTTGTTGTGCAACTTGTGGAAGTCTGATGTCCTCCGCTGAAACGCAAGACAAAGACGTCATGAAGACCCACTGTAAAGAAATAGATTACTGTTCTGGGGTCAGTGAAAGACAATCATTTCCGGTTGTCAGAGCCACCTTGACAGTAATGTAAATACCAAAAAATCAAATCAAATTTTAGCACTGGGGGGGCTGAGAAAGTGGATCTTCTACAGAAATGTATGTAAAAGATACGGTTGCTATGGAGAAATGTGCTGAATTGGTTTGGTTTTCCTGCAGACGTCTTCTTCTCCATCAGTCTCGCTCTGATGGTGGCCAGCCTGTTGGAGACGGTGTTTATCACGAACATCCAGTACAGCTCCTCTGAGACCCGGGACGTCCCTCACTGGCTCAGTGTCCTCGTGCTGCAATATCTAGCCGTAGTAGTTGGTCTCCGTCAAAAAGAAAACAACAGCCGAACCACTATTTTCCTAAACCCCTCTGCTACCACAGGTATGTCAATATTGTTTACTGACATTATGAAGGTCGTGAGAAAATGAATGCGGTAACTGGTTACGTAGAACATCGTTTGGAGGGAGTTGGTGCTGAAATCATTTAGAGGTGACAACTGATGGACCATAATCTAATCTATGTGCAATTTAGATTTGATTTTCAGTCATTTTTTGTGTCCAATCGAGCGGTTCTTTGCTTTTTGAATGAACCAGGAGAGAATTCCCGCATCCCAAACATCCCGGGACTCCATCTTAACTACGTCTCTGGTGATGTGGCTCCAGCAAAACCCCGTCCGGCCCCGACGGAGCCGGGTCTGGACGAACTGAGGAAAGTGAGCAGAGATCTCTTGGCCATCCGCCTCCAGGTGGACAAACACTTCCAGGAGTGCCAAAGCGGGCAGGAATGGCAAATGGTCAGTCGAGTCATCGACCGCCTGCTGTTTGGCTTCTACATCGTCTTCATCGCGTTCAGCTTCATCACCATCACATGCATTTGGACCTGGAGCAACTACGCATCGTGATTTAACTGAGACATTCACACACATAATGGAACACAATGGGAGTTTCTGCACATCGGGAAATTTTAATGTCTGTTGAGATCATTTAATGTTGGGTCTATAATTTGGGATAATAATTAGACTCCTTCTACCATCTCAAGATGGTATTGCACACAAATGGGCTTTTTGATAGACAGGTCGTACACAGGGGTGTTGAATAACATCTTTGTTAATGACAGTTTCTCTTTTGTTAAATAAAATTGCCTTGCCTTTTGAGAACCAATGTTTTATCAGTAGGTTTGAGCTGAATTTGTTTGTCCCTCCAGGCGTTACAGAGAAGAGCTCAAGAGAATGAACGGAGGACACTTGCTCGGCCTAAAGATGTCTAATATCTTTTCAAATGTGGGAATGTTTGAGAACTGATCAAAAGTCACAGAAATAATGGTTAATATTTCAGCCCTATTTCATCTTAGCTCTAATTAGATTAGTCTTCAGCTTTTCTATCAGAACACAAAAAAAGGTGAGCCTGATTAACAGTCTGGCCAATATTTTATTGTCAATTAAAGAACCAAAACAAAAACAATACAAATTAACATTTTTTTTTCCATAGTTGACACTTAAATCCGTAGTGCATTTTAAACGCCTCCACGAGAGCGGCGGTTCAAACTCAAAGCGCTTGCTGACTTACGGAGGCTTTTCAGTGGAGCCGAGTGGTCACTTCAGTGATTCCTTTAAAAAGCCGCCTGAAGACATCACTGCTTTTCGTCTCTTTAATACTCGTCTGTGGGAGCTTAGGAATATCTATGACATTTATTGCTTTAAGTACGTTCTGGTAAGAGAGTTTTGCCATCTTGTAGCCTTAAAGCCATAAAGCAAAGCCGGTTGAGGACGGTATGTACTTTGAAGACTAATCCATCAGGTACACAGAAAACGTGCTGAGTCACAAATGCGTCTGATTAGTCACCAGACAATTTATGCTTTATAGCTAGAAAGTACTGCAATACAACTGTTAAGCTTTGGGGCCTCTAGATGTCATTGAAATAAAGCATTGTCAATTAGTGAGCTTTATAAGGGCTGACAGGCATGTTCTTGATAAACAAGGCTAGAGCTGGTTTCCGGTTTCCAGTTTTTAAGCTAAGCTAAGCTAACCAGCTAGAGGGCCCCAGCTACGTGCTTAAGCTTAAACATATTTTAAGGGCCAATAATGCTGGGAAACACTGTACTAGACTAAGATCTCTTGGAGAAAAGACAATCACATGAAAGATTTCAGTCCAAGATGCGATACATTTTCATAACAAGGCTGGTGCACAACAACGGTTATCCATTCGATTGTGGCTCTGTCATTTTGGACTGAACTACTTCATAAATGTAGTTTATTCAAGGTTCATGTTCTTAAACGAACATCATCTAAATGGATAGTGACGTCCCAGCCACTCCCCACCCCCCTCACCAACAACAGCAGACAGACAGACAGACCAGTGCAATAAACTCCACTCTATTATTCCAAAACCTGCAACGTTAGAAACAAGTGCTGATTAGGCTGGTGCAAACCTTTTGTGCATGACCGCATATACAGCAGGTAGACATGAGCACGCACGCAAACACACAGCTTTCTCTAATAAACTCACTCACTCACAGCAGCACAAAAACAAAGCTTTCGCAGTTTCATATATTTGCAACACGGCCTGAAACTCTAAAGTTCACTCCGTCTATGAACTCGACATCCCAATGTAACTCCACTGGCCGTTCCAGTCTTAGTTAATTGGTCCCAGAGGCACATGAGCGTGGATGAAGAGCTTAAAACGGGGAAGCAAGCGCGTGGCAGGGAAAGGATATGCTAAATATATCTTCAGACAAAAATAGAAATCTCAATATTAAAAAGAGCCAGATCGTTTGAATACAGTATCTGCACGAGAAAATCTGTCAAAAAAGGGCCAGATCTACATTTTTTACAATTTCAGCTAGGCCAGTAGCCAATCGAATCATTACAACTGTAGGAGCAATATAAACATGGGTACAATAGTCTGATCAAATGGAAAAATAAGTGCCAAAACGTTTAGTGAATCTTTGGTCCTTTTCACACAAGTAACTGCAACTGGCTTACAAAAAATATTCCTGCAAGTCAGATATTTTACAATTCTATACTTTTACTTGTGTGCAAGGAAATGTATGAATAATTATTCATTAAATATTGGGAATGAGCCAATCTCAAGTTTAAGATTTTTTTTTAGCATATTTTTAAAGAAATCACCATTTAAAAATATCTTTTTAAAAGTGACAACACTCCCATAAGGAAAAAAATCCAAATCATAAATTACTGTGACACAAAAAAGTAAAGTGCATGTGTTCAAAGTGGAATAGCTTCTGCTTAATGTATGAACAGCGACCAACAACCAATGTAGTAAAAAGCTGCATTAGTTTGCCGTATTGTCACCCAGGCGTGAGAGGACTGGAATATAAAACGTTGTGAGTCACTACAATCATGGTTGCGTTGTGCTCTTCTTTTGAGTCTTCCGTCACGGGGCACTAGGGCCCGCCTCCCTCGTCCTCTTGTTCCTCCATGTTTTTGCGCGCCATCCTCTCTCTGCGCTCTGCCAGCCGCCGGCATCGAGGGCAGTCTTTGCGCGGGCGGAAACAGCCGCTGTGGTAGCACGCGTGGCACTCTGTGGAAAAAAAGGTGGGAGAAAAAAAAAATTACAAAAACAGTTAAGAAACACGCGCGTGTGTGCAAAGAGAAAAGGGTTTCACGTGAAGCAGAACAGTTCGAGTCTGACAAAGGGGCGGCATCCAATAACGTTAACCCGTTGAACCGGTTTGATGATAGTGAGCTGCGATGCATCAAAAAAGGAGCAGCCAATCGCAATGGTACTTGTTGGAGGCAGGGTTGAGGAGGGGAGAATAAAAGAGGCAGGAGTGAGAGGCAGCGCGGCAGAGCGGAGGAGGAACCATGCAGGTGAGCTCGCTGCTCTGGAAGGGTGGGGGGTGGGGGCCTCGAGCCACACCCGTAAACCAGTTCAGACACATCTCGTTTCTTCCAAAAGAGGCCACAAGAGCACTCTGAAGGACTTTAACGGCAGATCATTATGACGCCGATTCTTCAAATTCATTTTTGTTTCCATGTTGGCAGAAAAAAAAATTGCCATGCAATGGGAGAGAAAATAAAATGACAAGCAACTCAAAAAAAACAAGTGGCGTTTATTTCATGTTCACACGAGGATGAGGCTTAAATAATAGCAACTAAAACAATAAATTACAGTCATTCAGAGACAGTCTACATTGAAATTAAAACACTACGGCTGTTGATTTCACACAATACGATGAAAGAATTGGTGTGATCCAATCAAGTAGTGTGAAGTAGGCTGGGAGGAAAACAGCAACCACTCCTCCACCGACTCGGGGGGGGGATGTGTAACAGACCGAACAGAAGCGTCTATGTCTGACGCAGAGCTTTGGCATTGTTTGCCATCGCTGCGCCCCGAGCAGCACAGGGCTCAGAGACAGAAAACTCAACCAGGACCAAAGAGAGCTTCAGTATCGGGCCGACACCCCTGTAACACGAGCCAGACATCCACCACCAAATAGCTGCCAAGTGGGAACCAAAGCCAAGAAACACCACTGAAGTGTAGAGAACAAACCCAAGTGAACGCAGAGGAAGAATAACTGGACAAAATAATCCCGACACCAAGACGGCTCAAAGAGACGGTAGCAACAGAGAGGCCGACATGCGGGACATCTGATGAACACACTTTAATATTCTTATATACAAATATACCACTCTTCTCTGTACTAAAAGGAATATTTAGACATTTTGGAAGAGCCCAATGTGCAGCTTCACTTTGGTGCACAGAGCACCAAGACGTGAACACTTCCACTCTCGCAGCTGAGGAAGCCGCTGCACCCAGACAGGAAATAAAGCATTTTATTCTTCGAAGGGTACAAAAAAAATAAAAAATTACCAAGAGGATACATGTCAGTCTGAACAGGACAAGTCAAGTGGCAGCGCAGCCCTACAATCTACCAACCATAAACGCTGCCAAATGATTAGAGGAGTGCACATCAAGCACCCTTTAATAAAATCCACTGTTTTATTCAGCAGATTCATCAAATGAGAACCGTTCCAGCGAGTCGGTGTATTGTAATTCGAACGATTGTCATTCGGGACGGGGGGGGGGGGGGGGGACTAGTGAATCTCTCGGCTTTACATTCGCTCTTACTCTTGTCCTCCGCCACTCTCAAGACCACAATCTGCATCATGCATCTCCTCAATCTCTCCACTCGCAGTTTTGCTCGCTTTCTCGGCCCCTCTCCCAACCTTCCTGCCTCCGGTTGCCCTCATGGCTTTGCGAGTCTTACGACCCCTCCAGTAAGTGCGAGTTACGACGGCTCCCTCTGGCAGTTCTTCTTCCTCAGAATCCACCTCGATTTTTCCCGCACTCTCCCCACTTCGCTCCTCCTCTCCTTTGCTCCGCCCTCTGGGGAAGACGGCTAACAGCCGATGAGGTTTCCCCGCAGTAAGTTTCTCCTTGTTTTCTGCACCTGACATTTCTCTTTCGGCGGTGTGCTTATGGCCTTCGTCTAAAATTCCCTTCGCCCCATCGCCCTCCGTGCTGACGCTCACTTTGTCCTCACATCCTGCTTCTTTCTCCAGACAGCTTTTTTCTGACCCTTCCTCCTTTACTTCAGTTTTCTGTTCACCCTCTCTCGCTCTTTTGAAAAAACCCATGGCGAGACTCGCTAAGCCCCTCCTAAGTCCTTTCCTCTCTGGCTCTACTTCATCTAGACTTTCCGTGCTGCTGTGCGTTTCGCTGTCACTGCCTCTTGTGTCGTCTTTTACGACGTCCTCTATTCTGTCTGCGTGAAGAACCTTTAATAAATCGACTTGTTTGTGGCCGTCTCCCCGTCCCTCGCCCTTTCCCCTCTCTTTGCAATATTCCTGCCCGTTTCCTCCCTCTTCTCCTCCTTCGCCCGCCCCCATCAGTTCCTCCCTCGCCGAATCCGTCCCACCCAACAATTGCTGCTCTTCCTCATTGCTCTTACTCGCGGAGAAAGCTTTCGCCTGTTTTCCGGGGCCGAACAGAACCTGAAATAACCCCCCTCTTCCCTGTCTCTCTCCTGATGCGTCCCCCCTTTCCTCCCGCACGCCACACTGCACCCCTCGCTCTGTGACCCCCTCGCCTCCCTCCCCCTCCCTCCTGTCTTGATAGAGGGCCTTGGCCAGCCTACGGGGTTTGGAGATCTTCCAGTCTCTCCAGGTAAGTGGAGCGGGGGGGCGGAGGGCGGGGGCTCTGATGCCGCCCAGGCCTGCCGCCGGCAGAGGGGGCTCACCTTCGCAGCGCTGGCACTTGTTCAACTGGAAGGGGAAGATGATGTCCTTGTCGTTGCTGCAGAACTCGCACACGAAGCCCTTTGCCTGACACAGCTGGGGGGGGGTCGATCCAAACAACCGGAGAAAGAAAGAGCGGACATTTGGTTAAGCGGAGAATGTTTTGTCACGTACGTCATGTTTTATCCCCGAGATGAAAATCAACCGGGTTAACTCCCCGCGTTGAAAGAAGTTGCGTGGCGATCTTACCACACAGCCGGCTACGTGCGCGGTACCAAGTTTGAGCAGCTCTTTCATCCTGGGAGCCATTTCCCCGCTGCGCACGGCACTGAGGTCACTGAGGGAGAAGAGATGAAGGTCCTCGGTCAGGTGACCTGGCAGACTGTCAAACTGCTCCAGCACCCTGAGACACACACACACACACACAAAGTTAGACCTTGCAGGGAGAATAATTATGTTTTACGAATTACGTTAGAACACGTCCCAGCAAGCCTCTTACTCTTTAGCAAAGCGACAGGTCTTGAAGAGGTTTTTCATATGGAACAGCTGCACTCTCAAAACCTAAACAAAAACACAAAATGGAAAAAAAGGCCTCTCGTTACTTAAACGTACACAGACAGAAACACGGAGGCGTGTCGTTGGGTACACGGTGGAAGGAACGGGAGGGTCCGGATCAGCTTACAATAACAGCATATGTGCTGTCAAAGTCTTTAATAACAAATGTCCCCGGGGTGGGGAAGCATCACATTTCTCCTCTCACGATTATCCAGTGGGTATAAGCTACATTGACACACCCAGATGAACAGTTATGAGCCATATTATTGTTTTTAACCCAGTCCTGCCTGATCACACACATATTGATTTCTTTAATTACAATGGCTTTTTTTTTTTTAAACAAGGGCCAAACTGGGGAGAGAAAAAGTAGAGAAAACAAGATTGGCTAATGCCCAAGTTCCCATTCTGCGGCTTCTGTGCTCACCCGGACAACCTCCAGAGCTTTGACCTTCTTGTACAGGCCGCTGTTGATGTCACTGGGGTTGAATAGCGGGTCTCCCGCAATCTTGCTTAGCAGGTCCCGGGCAAAGTTGCTGACGTAGTACTTGCTGAAGTCCCACTTCCTCAACACTCGGCCGGGAACCACGGCCTGAGCGTTCTCATGGCAGCACTGGCAGAAGTAACGTCCGAGGTACTCGCAGTACCGCATTCGCTTGATATAATCTGAAGCGTGGACAGGCAGCAGGGACACACGTGGGTAGAGGTGAGAATACATAGAGAACAGGAGGAACAGGAAGCTTTAGCAGGCGGATCCCGATCCCACACAAGCACTTGAGAACTGACGTTGCGACTGCAAATACTTTGGATGCAAATTTTTTTTTTAGTGGAAGAATGTTCAAATGCACGTTGATGTTACGTTCATTGCAACTTCATTTTCAACTTTTGCTGGTCGTACCGGGGTCGATGCGGGTACCACAGCCAGCGCAGCGGTAGTTCTGTTTCACGACAAGGATCTTCCTCCTGACAGGGAGAGATAATGGCTATTATGAAAACGGAGACAGAGTGGACGTGGACACGGCCCGGGATGCGTGTCAGTGTGAGGATGTCCATAGCAAATGAATAGCAGAAACATAAATGAATAAACAATGTGAATGGAAAAAAAAGAAGGAAAAAACGGCGTGGACTCACTTGGGGGCGGAATGAATGTTGAAGATTATCTGCGGTCGGGGCGGCGCCCACTCCAGGTTACCCCGAACCCGGATCCTCAGCTTGTAGATGTCGGCGTGTTCGCCATCATCGGGCGAGATGGGCAAAGAGTCGGGGATGGGCAGCAGCTAGGAGCAAAGCAAGTTTTTACAATTGTATGAATGATTTTGCATGTTCAGTTTAATGTGTGGAGAGCATTAAACATCTGCCGGGTACAATATACAAGCAAGATGTTGTACCTTCTGTGGAGCGTCGTGTTCCGCGACCAGCCAGTCGAGCTCAGAGGCTGCAGGAAGCTGCATGCCCTCAAATTGCCTGAGTAAGCCCATGGCTACCGACTCAGCAGAGTTAGACTGGAGGTAGGATGGAGAGCTGAAAATGCACAAAGTCAAAAATATAATATCGGGATTAATGAAAATGTGCAATTGATGAGTTATTGGTTGTTATTGACAGCCCTAATTACAATACATTGGTTTCCAAGTATATCGCTATTATGCAGACAAGACATAAAAATAGTATGTGTGTGATGAATTAAATTAAACGGTGTTCGATAATTAAGATGATTATTCTGCATGTGCAGGCGAAACAAGGGAAATAGGAAGTGTGTAACTTACATTGACTCGGAGCTGAGAAAAGACCTGCTGCTGGAGCTTACGCTGCGCTTAATGTCTGCATCTGGAAGACAATAAAACGACAGTTAAATAAAAGACAGACCACTTAGCAGCAGTGTAACAGTTACACAAGTTTCTATCTGCGGAAAAACAAAATGTAAATTTTTAGATTTGAAAATGATGTTCAGATGATGGCTGTATTTGTAAAAAATAAGTAAAAATGTACAGTTGGTGTTAGTTTGTCACCCTGGGGTTATTTGATATTGCTAACCTGTAATTAATGTTTAGAGAATACATCATTTAAGAGTGTTGCAATTATACACCCAAAAATGAGCCCCACAAAACATCCCCATCTCCGATTCAATTCATTTTTTTAAAAGATAAATTTACAGGTAGCATGCAGGGAAGCCAAAGAAAAAAGTCAAAACATTGTCGACATGTTGTCTTCAGACACCCCACAAACAACACGTAAGCAAAGACATTCAGCAGTGCTGCTTGGGAAGAACAAGTAGGCGCCTGCATGGATTCTTGGGTGATTAGAGAGACTCATTTCTACCAGAAGAATTAATTCAAAGAACTGGTTTGACGGAGCCAATTCTGCTGGATTACAAGCAGAGGAGGAAAATGGCAAAAAGCATAAATGCAAAAAAGCAGACAGGGCATGGTGAGTGACCCTTAGTGATCTTGTGTCCAGGAGGAGAGTGGGTTGATTTACTTTAGAGATTAAGCAAACTAATTCATCACGGAATTCATAAAAGGAAAGCATGTGATTCAAATGTAGATTTTTAAATTTAAGATCAAATTGAACTGTGGTCCCGCTTTGGTGTAAGGCATGTAGTGGTACTACTCATCAGTACTCAAATTAAGTGTGTAATTATAATATAAAAATTATAATTAACCAACGCAAACACCGGTTATAAAACGGCCTTCACAAAGGAACCAATTAATACTGGGCTGACTTTAAAAAGGAAGGATGTGACAGAATGATTTCAGCATTGGTGACGGTGAATAATGTGATGGGTGGATGAATGAATTAATGAATAATCCCTTTAGTTTCAGGGCGCCATGGAATGCACCCCTGTAATTCCCTGGTCTCCTCCTATGAGCCTCTTTACTATTAAAAATTGTGTCCACCAAAGCCCCGGAGCACTGACCAATGAGCAGCAGCACAAGCCGAGCGCACTACTCCAAGCTGAGGCGAGGAGGCAGATGGCGCCGCTCGCCAAATTGAGAACTTTCTACATTCCCTGAACGGTTTAGATACAGTTAAAAATAATACTGGAGATTTATTTAAAAAATAAATAAATTTAAAAAAAACAGTATAAAAACTTCTTTGGAGAAATTAGAGTTTACTTCACAAATCATAAGAAAAGATGAACTGACCAATATTTTTGTTTAAAGCCAATCCCAAATGAAAAGAAAAAATATTTAGTCTCAATGCCTTTGCAAGAGCTAAGTACTTTTTCTTTTATTAAGTCTTGTACAGCATGACCTGAGGTGGGAGTACCTGGATCTCCAGAATCCATCTCATAGCAAACTGAAAAAAAAAAACTACCAACTAACGTTGTTTGTGTATTTTTAATAAGTTAAAGACACTTTCGGAATTAACCTACTGACGGTTTTGATAATTGAAATGTTTGAACAAAATCAATATCAGTATGACAAAACAAAGACAAAAAGCTATAAACTGTTGTGGCTGAATTGTCCTTCAGTGTAACAGGAATGATTGAATTCTCACTTTGGAGCGGAGCCCTCGGCTTCCTCTCGGGGGAGACCCCCAGACCCCTCCCGCCCCCCAGACCCCCGGCACAGTAAACTGGCTGTAAAGTATCATTGTTGAGCCGCACCCAACCTGCAGATACCTGAGAAGAGGGAGGCGAGTGACAGGGAGAGGCCGTTCTGAGACACCGCCAGCAGGGACTGACCCTCACAGCCATCTGAGAGACAGAAACTAACACTCAGCACAACCACAAACATGTTCTCCTCTCCAAACACGCCGCGTGTTTGTGGCAAACATACGGTAAGCTGCACCGAGACGGTACGTCTGGAAGTCATGCAGTGGCACAGCGCCCACCACGCATGCACACTATGAATGCTCAACCCACAGTGCTGAGAGGTGCAGATATTCACAAGCACTCAACCTCACAAAGTACATGCATTTATGACATCCCACAACCCACGTCAACAGCATCAACGCAAAGCGTGTTCGAAAGTTCCCAAATGTTAGTGAATAGTTTGTTGAGGTTAACATTCGTCACACAAAACGGAACTCTAAATCTGATTAATCTATTCAGAGGAGAAAGTTGAAGTTTTGTGAACACAGCTTCTCCAGCTCAAACGCACCCAACCAACTGATCAGAACCGTATAGAATCAGACACGTGGAGACTCACATGACCGCAATGTTCGTGTGAATGAATACGTAAAAAGGTGACATGCTGGTTAGCAACATGAAGCAAGGGTGGTGATCAGCTTATGAATTATGAGTAGAACAGAAACAAATTCAAATGACACTTTTAAAATACATTTTGAAACTATGTAATAAATATTTGGTCAAAGTTCAAATCTTGGATTAATCCTATGTGGTAACTGCATTGTATCACTGTAGCTTGTTGATCATCAAGTAAACATACCAGCTGTGCACAAAACGTGCGTTACATGTGGGAATGGTTGACACTGATTAGCAACAAAAAAAACAAAGACACTCCTTTTGGTGTTTCCCTGTTCCCTCTCTCTACCTCGTAGTTCGCACTCCTCCACCTCCTCAGCCGAGCCGGAGTCAGAGAGGCCCTGGTAGGAGTCCTGAGAGCTCCTCCTGGAGCCTCCGCTGTCAGTGGAGTGGACGACTGAAGGAGGAGGAGAAGGAGACAACGGGTTGAGCAAAGGACAATAGAAATAGACTGCTTTGCTCAACACACTCGAGCTGCACACACAAAGCTGCCTGAATGAAAAAAGGGTAAACCAGAGTGGATGTTAATGTGAAATGAATTGAATGAACACTGATTTTGTTAAATGACCTAAATTCAAATAGAATTAGAAAGTGGGAGGGGCCATATGTAACAAACACTTCATGAGGAAAGGGCATAGCGTGTCCATTCAGTCAGATTCAACAGCTGCTCGGTACTCGTGTTGCCTTACTGTGGGAGTTTGCGCATGGCGGCACACGACTGCGTCTGATCAGCTGCCTGCGCAGTCGGATCTTCTGTTTGAGCTGCTGGATCTCAGAGTCGCTGTCTCCCTCTTCCTCGCCCTCCTCTTCCTGACGCCGCAGGTTGTACTTCATCAGCTCGATGGCAGCAATGAGGGACTCTGAAATGCTGAAATGAGCATTTTCCTATAGAACATAGAGAAATATTGTGGATCCGTCAGAGGAGACCAGAATTTTCAGCGCCTTTTTTATCCAGAATTTGATTTTAAAAAATTGGGTTGGTTTTGTTGCTGCATTTGTAAAGCCATATGAAGTGCCTCAATTTTGTACGAACACTGAATGTAATCAGTTTGACTAAATAAGGGACCGATTCACTGATCAATCAGCACCAAAAGTAGTTGGAGTTAGTCCCGTGCTGAAAATGGACCCTGACCTTCTCAAGGTCAGCACAGCTGCCAAAGTCCTGCTCTGACAGGTAGCTGATGAGGCTCTGACCCTGCGACGGCTTCCTGAACATCCCATCGGGAACACTGTTGACCTGGGACACATCTGTAGGAACCACAACAGAAAATAAATCAATCACCTGGAAAAACTGAAGGAAATAAATACTCTAAGCTTTCCAAAAGCCAACTCCATGTTGTCAGAGTATCTTATGTACACCGGACTACCAATAACATATACAGACACACCTCAACCTTTTATATGAGTGTCACATCTACAGAGCAGCTGACTCACTCGCTACATTCACATTTAGAAACATATCAGGTCAGTTTTCCTGTTCAACTTCCTTCCATATTGTGTGGACTTTCTCTTTTTTTATATATATAAATTAAAAAAAAAAAATTAATAACAGGATAAGAGCAAAGCCCTTTGTACTATTGCACTCCTTTTTAAGAGCATCATAACTGTAAAAGCAGAAAACTCACGAGACTCCATGTAGAGGGAACTGGAAGAGCTTGTTTCTTCAGAGGGAGGCGAGAAAGGGCTGTAATTCGTTGTACCGCAGTCGTCCCCAACGGATTCTGAGGGGAAGAGAGTCTCTGTTAAGTGTCGTTTTTGTCCACACTAAAACAAATACAGAATGATTTGAGGTTGATTGGAACATGCGTCACCATTCATACACAAAGCAGGTTAAAACAAATCAGTAAAGTCTATGGAGATGGCTGACTTTATTGCATGCAGAAACAAAAACATTTGACATTTGACCTTTGTCAGTGTGACGACTTCATTCAGGGATGTACGGAAGAAATCTGTCCATCCAGTGATACAGAACTGACATACTTTACATACAACATACAAATGCTGTAGAGACATCATTCTAAATGACAATGACTCACACGCCACTAGCTTAAATCTAATGGAATGAATATGTTTACACAACCGTCATATATAAACGGTCATAATACTTTCAATACAACACTGGTTATGACAAATGTGTGCTAGGGCATCAACACAACACTGAAAGGGGTCATTCATGGCCTCATCACGTAGTTTGACCTGAGTAACACCAACCAAAACAGTTGCGAAAAAGCAAAAAAAGACGTCAAGAGGAAAAAGCACATATTGAGACTTGAAATGAGAGGGATGGAAAGCGTTTCCCAGCATGCAGAGGAAAATAGGGGTGTAGTGATGGAGCACAGAGGAACTGCACTGCCAACCTGCTACCGGATCTTCTATTATTATGGTGATTTTTCGGTGGCCCCCTCCTTTGCACAAACAGTAAAAGAGAGAAGGATAGAGCAGAAGGAGAGAAAGTTACCTCAAGCCAAGGAGGAGAAACAGTGAGCAACGAGAATTGAGAAGTTAATTCAGAAACGTTTAGAACCCTCAAGACCGGAACTGTGCTAATTGGGAGAGAATGCGTGGCCTCGCCACATCTTACAGAGCGAAAAATACAACAGATAAGAGTATTCAGGCACAGCCCAGAACCAGGACCTCACATTTAAGTTGAGCAAAAAGGAACAGAATTGTGATCAAAAAGGTGTTCTACGCAACTGCAGCAAACTGAGAAGTCACGCTACAGCAGGTTGTGCCGGTAGAAGAAGATCTTGGGCGTCACTGATTTTCCCATTAATGTATTACTTTTATTGCTGACTCCAACAGACAAGTAAGACCAACGTCAACGGCAAGGGGGAAAGTCAACAGGGGTTTCCTGCCACACTTCTTTTTTTTTTTTTTTTTTTTGGTTCAATGTTTCTAATTCAATACAACACACAAATAGACCAGTTATTCACACAAGTTCATTTTTCTCACCGTTCTTCATTTTCTGACTGACCCCTGTGTCAGAAAATGAGCGGGTGTGTCCCCTGGGCGCCCGGCCCGGCCCCCTCTGGCCCGCTGAGAAAGACGAGCGCCTGTGTGGGGGCGGAGCTAAGGCCGGGGCGACGCCCTGCTCGCTGCTGTCGGTGGAGTTTGGAGAGTCAGAGCGGCTGCGTTGCCCCAGGTTACCAATAGCCAGGTACTCCGGACCATCGTCGTAGTCGCCGTCACCAGAGTCCCCGGCCTCAGGCTGAAGGGAGGGGGACGAGGGGGGCTTTGAGAGCGAGATGCTAGGGACCGAGACGGAGCCAGGAGGGGGTGTCCCACCCCTCCCGCTCTCCCCTGGCTTGGACACACACGGAGCTCCCCGGCTGCTGGCTGGAAAGGAAGTGTCTGCAACAGAGCAGGTGGATAACGGAAGATGGATCAGGACGCCGTGTCACAGACCTGCTTCAGTTTCTTTCACAAGCTTAGGGACTGGTTTTAATTCATTCAAAAAGAACATTATGTAAAAACACCAGTTAGAAAGAAAACTATATTGATTAAACAGCATGAACAACTCCACAAACCCCTTTAAAAACAACTCCACTCATCACCCTTTCCTCACTTGTGCAGTTGCCGTTGTTGTTTTGGGATCCACCTCCTGTCGTGTTCCCAGAGTTGTGGCTGGCGGCGACTGTTTCTTTGAGGGAGCAGAAGGAGGTGGTGAGTCTGCGATTTAGAGATTCTCTTGTGGGAGCAGAGTCAGCGTTCCTCCAAACGGCGCCGGGCCCAGGTAACACACACAGGCTCTGGCTCTTCAAAAGGCCCAGACATGGTGGGCCCTTCAGAGGAGACAGCTGGAGAGAAGGGAGAGGTGCAAAATGTCAGGCCATATGCAGAGTGTCCTCCTTTTGGTTTCCTTCATTTTTCATTCTAGACTGGTCATCTAAAACACACGACACGACTGATAACGAGGTTGTGAACACACCTCCGCGTTTCCTTATGTTCAACAGATAAATTACATTAAAAATACATACTTTACACAATGGAGTAAATAAAATCCCAATCCACCACACAAAAACTGATTACAGATAATGAACAAACAATTGAAATAGATACAATAAATGCCTTCAGAGTACCTTGACTTTATCCAAGTTGTTTCAAAACACTCACCCCGAACGCGTCTACTTGGGCCAGCAGCTTGGGGTTATTCTGCTCCACAGCTTCCAGACACTGGAACATGGCGGTCACATGGGGCTCGCTCAGCAGAAAGGCATCCTCTGAAAGGCCGACACAGACGGAGAGGTAAGGAAATAAGATAACGACAGGGATCATGCATAAATAAAGTGAAGACAGAAAGAGAACGCGAAAGAGGAGAGAACACAGAAATATTTAGCTGCTTCATACTTTTGTTACACCAATGTTTCACAACAATGTTGTCTACACTAAACTGGACTATATGTGTGCCCCATCGTGATGATCATTACAGCTCACCATTATAATATTTCCGTGTGTGCCCCAGGTGCCGGAGCAGAGGTCGTAGCTGAGCCGACAGCAGGTGAACCTGTAAGCTGTGGAGGAGCCAGCGCTCGGCCTTGTAGCTCTCGCCGCCGGTACTCTGCTGCATCCCGCTGCTCAGCACCGGCTGCAGCTGACTGAACTGTGGACGGATGGAGGGGAGAAAACAGCAGAAATAGTGTCTGTTCTCATTTGTTATTTTGTCAACAAGGTCTGTTAACTCAACAGCACAACATACAGGAGATCTCGTTGCTAATCTTTACTATTTACACCAAACATGCGGCAGTTTGTTGACGGCCCAGTTTGTGTGAGCCTCCGACAATGTACTGTTGCACAATCAAGAGTGGACTGTTCTCCACAACACAACTACAAAAAAACAGACATTTTAGGAAGTGCAGTGACCGGACGCAAGTGCAAATATGAACAACAGACCTCGCAGGCTCTCAGAATTCCCCACCCATCGTCACGGTACAAAAAACGACACCACTGATGAGCTAAAGAAGAGTACGTTTCCTGTTGCATTGGGTACGGTTATTACTTCAGTTGGCCAGAAGCTGCTTAAGAGTGTGAGTCATGCAGCACTACATATTTTCATATCATCACATAGCCAAATATTTCAGGGAACACAATAGAAAGTGTTCTGCATAGTAAATTCACAGTCTCCATGCACACTCCCGACCCTCACGTCGCTGACAGGAGATCCTACCTGTTCAACGTGCGAGGCGAGGTGGGGGCTGATGTAGCGCACGCACCACACAAACGGCCAGTAGTCTCTCTTCTTGTAGTACACCTGTAACACAGAACCAGCATGGGCATCGGTCACAGAGGGCCGGCATTGATAAACACAAGACGCCCCTATGGAGAACTTACAACATCCATTCCTGACCAGCTATGGGTGGGTGAGAAACCTCAGATAAATAGAACGACGAGGCAGATACTGTGGTTTGTTGTCCGATGGTGTGGTAGTGGGGTTATGGGTCAAACTTGGATTTAATTGCTCCTCCGTGCTTAAACACAAGCCTTTATTGCAGGCCAAAGCTAAACGTCAGAGCTAATCAGAGTAAGCAGGAAGTCATGCAGAAAATGATCAGTAATCTGTTGGCAACACATGGCAAGCACTCAAAAAGGAAAGGGTGACATCGGCCAGATGATGAGCCTGAGTGCAGACCTGCTCGTTCTTCAGCCCATGGCTCAGGATGTTGTTCATGTCCTTGTGAAGGCGCTGCAAGCCGCCATAACGTGACCACACATTGGGATTGTTGGTGGACACGAGACCCTCCACTGTGGTCTTTAGGCTGGAGAGCAGCTTCCAGTGATCCCTCCTGTAAGGTACAGAGGGCAGCAGGAAGGAGTGGGAAAGGTCGAAGGAGGAAGTTTAGGAATGAGGAAGGAGGTGAAGAAGTGCTGGTGTCAGCAGTGCTGTGGCTTCAATCGTCACCCAGAAGGAAAATGCTTTTCCTGAAAATTAAAACCCCAGCAGTTTAACTACGCTGCACTCTGTGACTAAGGGTGCTTACCGTGAACATTTTAGCCGAAATATCCTAAATAGACAAATATGCAATTATACACTTAATCACTTCCTAATAAAGCATGACGTTTTCCAAAAATCCAGGGTTTAAGACATTTTTGACCCAGCTGACATTGGCACAGAGTTTGGATATATGTACATTTGAAGCATTGATGTTATTCTTTTCTTATATAAACTGGGACCTTCCCGAAGGCTCTATGTTGGCATTACAAGCTACAAATACTAGGTAGACCGGTTGCTGTGTTGGATACAAGACCTCATATTGGGTCATATTCTCTGAGAGCCATAGAGCGTTGGCGCATCTCCTGGAAATGCTCTTTTCCCCCCTTTAGTCAGCAGTCTAACTGAATGCTATTCAGAAAAAGTCACAACTGCAGCAACACTTGAAGGCTTTCTTTTAGTGTGGGATCATTTTACATCCCATCGTACGTATAAATGGTAAGTATAAATGAGACTACAGGTAAGTAGTGTTGAATGCTTGAAAACATTATAATATAAAAAGAGGCCAAACTTTAGTTCAAATTTAAGTCCAAAATGAAATCCAAGACAAAAAAGGCCCTTTCTGTTTTGTGTAAGATCAATCTAGGTATCGCAGTCATGCAGCCTCACTGACTAACCCGCAATAGAGGATTATTTTAGTTAATTTTTTTTTTTTGAGGACTCACAATCATCATCATCAGGCAGCGAGCGCGGTAAAATATAACACTTATAACAACTAGGAAGGGCACATTTATGAACAACAAGAGCCGCAGGGCTGACAATTCACATCCTGTAACATAGAAAGAGGCTGGCCGAATGTCACAGAACATTCCCCACTTGCTACACAACCCTGTGTGTGTGTGTGTGTGTGTGTGTGTGTGTGTGTGTGTGTGTGTGTGTGTGTGTCATCCATTGGTTTGTTGGAGGCGGAAGGCTGAGGAAGAGGTTGTTTATCTTTAAAAAGGGTCAACTCTGTTTCTGCGTGTTTGCGATAGTGAGCATCGCAGTGCACTATACAAACATCTACTGCTAAACGAATCCTCACAACACTCAACGGGAATAAATGTTGTTCCGACTGAACGCAGTCGAACGAAAATGAGCAAACTCGTGCAACATTTCCCGTCAAACGAACGCTTACAGTACGTTAATCGCACCGTCAAGGCATGCGGGCGTTTTTGACATGTCGGGTTGTGTATAAAACTTTAGCTGTGTCAATGCGTCAACATTCTACAATCAAAATCGTTATTTTTCTATTTCATATATTGTATATATATATAAAACATATTGCACTATACAACACGCGACTGTCATTAGCCATGTGACGTAAACTGTCAAACTTCATCCGGCCACCGGCTAGCTAGCAGTTAGCTAGCAGTTAGCTAGCACTCTTAACAACAGGTATTGGCGATTAACACGTGCGAACGCATTCGGAAACCTAGTAAACATTTAGCGCCGAGTCAATCGGTTGATCTTTGAGTCAAACGTTCTGACAAGTTTCGCAGTTGGCTCGTGCGGTTTGCTCTAAGTCGTCCAACACTGACCTGTCAGTTAGCCTAGCTGAGCCACTAGCTAGCGCTCCTGTGTCAGTAATCCACCAGCGAACTAGATGGGCTAACGTTAGCTAACTTAGTAAACGTTATCCGACATGGTAACAACTGATTCAGTTCATGTGAGTTATGGTTACAGACAAAATACAGACACGCAGACAATCGTGAGTTAGCAACTAGCTTCTCAGTAATACGTTCCTAGTTGTGGCATTTATTCAACAAGCGTTATTCTTAGCACAGCTAGCCGGTTAACAAGCCCAGCCCAGGCTGTCACTCACCGGCGCTCTTCCGCCTCTCCCTCCGCAGACACCTCCATGTCATCCAGAAGGAATCGAGTACCGTAAAACCCCGCCAGCTTTCCCGGATTTCCAAAAATCTACTTTCGTAGAACAGATGCGCCCCCCCAGTAGTGGGGTAGCTTGAGGCAATTAATCTGACTTCCAGTCGTCCATCTCCGCACCGCCTGGCCGCGCTGCGAATCAAAACAGTGAAGGCCGCGTGACCCGCTATCATCAGCGAGTGGGCGGTGACGTCATCTGCTCTGCCCACCTTTTCACGATGACCACGCTTTTCACTTTTTCACGGAATAACACTAGGGTTCATTTCCCTCCGTGGTTTTCCAACGGGTGAACCGCTTTCATCATTTAAACACGAGCTCAAACGCTCTAATGTGGCTCTTAAAAAATAGAGCGATTTTTAGAGACACAGTCATCAGTGCCACCTGCTGTACATGAACACGGTTTCACGTGTGACTGCTGCCCTCTGTTTGAACTCACACGTATTTTTATCCACTCGTTTCCTCCTGAGTGCTACTGTATTTTTTTAAATCAAACTTATTTTTTTTATTTTTTTAAAGTTTCAATATATGTTTTTTATTTTGGTGGTTGGAGTATAGCATTTGCCCTAAGACAACATAAGCCTTTACTGACCTCAAGAGGTGGACATTCAGACAGAGATAACTTCAGATACATAGAGAAAGTCAAAATAATAATAAGAGTTGTAGTTCAAAAAAGTAAATATATATATATTTAGACGTTTTGAAAAATGTTCTACCCAAAACAGTTGAAGACAGAAGTAGCAGAGTTGGCACATCTGGTTTGTGAAAACACTGTATACTAAACTGAAATATAGCCTGATGATGTACTGACATTTTGTGTTTGTCTATATTGAAATAGAACATTTTTTATCTTCAGTGGAGAGCTAGAACAAGATGATTCGTACCTACGAATCGTCTTGTTCTAGCTATTCTAGCTATATATATATATATATATATATATATATATATATATATATATATATATATATATATATATAGCTAGAACAAGACGATTTTATATATATATATATATATATTATACCGTCATTCAGAGAAGGGATTCATTTTCCAAAGTTAAAAACGGCTGTATTAACATTAACCATAACTTGCAATTGAATCAGTGATATGAAGAAATCTACAACAAAAAAACTATATAGATCACAGATTAGTGTTTTACGTTACTGACAGTTTGTCCTTTTCATAAACATCATACCCACATGATGGCACCACAGTCTTAAATTGTCTATATTCATTGAAAAGAATCAGCCTTACCACTTGATGGCAGTGGTGAGTGGAGAGCTCCACGTGAAACATCAGGTGTCAGCCCATAGCTTGTGTGGTGGCGGATGACTGAATGGTGAGTAATTGCCCTTACAGAACACACGCGTGCACACCCACACGCACGCACACGGTTACGTTATTTCAAAGTTTATATACTTTGGTAATGTTTGGTGATGCTCGGACAAGACATCATCAATACATCAACAGTGAACCTTTTTAATGAAGGTTTTGTATTGTTTTTGGACCTATTGATTCTCTGATGTATTTATCTAGATGGTTTTGCTACTTTAAATATCTTAATACCTGCGTAAGTAGTATTCAGATCATTTATGTTAATACACCAATGTGAAAATGCTTTCTACAAATAAAAGTCCTGTATTTACAATTTAGACAAGTAATGTAAATGAAGTGATTATTCGGGCCCTTTTCAGAGTGTTATTTTATAATGGACGACATTTTTGCTGCTGTTTTGTGTTGAGCGTGTGGGCGCATGTCTTTCAATACAAAGCTAACTCTGGACTTCTAACTGTACCCATTGTTAAAGTACTCAAAACGTCAGTTGGGGATAATATACACAATGTATTCCTGTGAACGTATTGGATACAGGAGAAAGGACATGTCGGGAGAAGTTAATCAGATCTCAGGCAGTGGAAACTTTTCATTTAACCCTTCATTCAAGGTATTACATTTCCTGAACTGCAACTGCTGTGATCTGGAAAACCCTCCCGGTTATTACCACATTTCTACTGTATTTGAGCAGCTGTGACTCACAGCTGTAATCTGCTGCACTAGGAACACACACAAGGTGAGTAAGAGGTGTCACGGTGACACTGAGCACGGTTGAACCAGTTTATCAACCAGTCAGTCTGTATTGCTATATCAGACAATTGTCCATCATACAAAAGAGTCTAAATTCAGAGGGTTAAGCAAACATGTAGCAGGCAGCATAATCCAACACAGGGAAAGACATGTGATTTAGCAAAAACACACGGAACAGACTTCATTTGTTGTGAGGTTCAGCTGGGTGAAAAAATATTTTTTTACATGATTCATTACAAAAATCTGAGGACACTTATGAGACACAGAGGGGAAAAACAACTAGAAGGGCCATTACAGCTTTCTTAGAATCTACAGATCAGATTATTGCTAACTTTGTAAACTCTAAGCGGGGAATTGGATTCACATGGTGGAAAGTGTAAACATCGAAACCATGGTTTCATGGTGTTTTCTCCTGCAGAGTGCCAATTAGAGCAGCGCTGATGACCCAAATGCAGATATAGCTTTTGCCTCAACAGGCCAGAAGATCAAAATAATCCCATTGCTGCACTTTATTCCGGCCACTTTAAAGAGAAACAAAATCAAAGATAATCTGAAGCTGTAACATTTTATTTGTTATGCTCAATAACCACTTTATACAAACCTTTTTCTTCACCACTACAGATCCGGATAAAGACATTTAAAATGATTCCAAGCATGCAGCACATCCTGGGAGAAGCTGATCACCGGGCAGACATAGATACGTTGTGCACTCATTTCATCCTGGCCGAAAAGCAGGTATGACATTACCAGTTTGATTTGGGACGTGACCAACATGTCAGGTCATGGCTAAGTCAATACATAGTAGGAGAAAAGGCCATCAGCACCAACTTCGGGGATGAATAACTAATAGTACTAACTTGATTTGGAAAGTGAACATCGAGAATTCAAATAACATTCTGAATGGAAAATCTTCAGTTCCAGTGGAGAAACAGGCTGTGAGTGGTTGTCAGCTTTGAGGTGGTGAAAGACAGTGCAAAGAGATAATGTCACCCGGAAATAAAAAGTAGGTGATGAGTGACTTACCAAATGCCGTGATATCGGCGCTGAACCAGGTGTAGACTTGTCTTCTTACTTCAGAAAGGTTTTATTGGTCCTTCCAGCGAACTCACTGATCAGATCCCAAAGTGGAGTTCCTGTTTATCTGGAAACTTATCAGATTACAGAGAACCAGTTTTTTCCATAAACATGAGCTCAGGGTTGGCAGAAAACCTGAATGCTGAGGCAAACATATTAATTTGAAATTTTAATGAGAATTCTGTTTAACAGTTGTCCAGGAAGTTTTAATTCCTGGTAATTATTTGGAATAATTTAAAATTAGAAATAATTGCTTGCAGGGAATCTTTAAACTGCCATCTCAATTCTTCAGGAGTTCAGTTCAGTCTCGATTAGTCTCCAATATTCACTCACCTAAAGGATTATTAGGAACACCATACTAATACTGTGTCCGACCCCCTTTCGCCTTCAGAACTGCCTTAATTCTACGTGGCATTGATTCAATAAGGGGCTGAAAGCATTCTTTAGAAATGTTGGCCCATATTGATAGGATAGCATCTTGCAGTTGATGGAGATTTGTGGGATGCACATCCAGGGCACGAAGCTCCCGTTCCACCACATCCCAAAGATGCTCCATTGGGTTGAGATCTGGTGACTGTGGGGGCCATTTTAGTACAGTGAACTCATTGTCATGTTCAAGAAACCAATTTGAAATGGTTGGAGCTTTGTGACATGGTGCATTATCCTGCTGGAAGTAGCCATCAGAGGATGGGTACACGGTGGCCATAAAGGGATGGATATGGTCAGAAACAATGCTCAGGTAGGCCATGGCATTTAAACGATGCCCAATTGGCACTAAGGGGCCTAAAGTGTGCCAAGAAAACATCCCCCACACTATTACACCATCACCACCAGCCTGCACAGTGGTACCAAGGCATGATGGATCCATGTTCTCATTCTGTTTATGCCAAATTCTGACTCTACCATCTGAATGTCTCAACAGAAATCGAGACTCATCAGACCAGGCAACATTTTTCCAGTCTTCAACTGTCCAATTTTGGTGAGCTCTTGCAAATTGTAGCCTCTTTTTCCTATTTGTAGTGGAGATGAGTGGTACCCGGTGGGGTCTTCTGCTGTTGTAGCCCATTCATCCGTAGCCCATGTACTACGACTGTACTCTGAGAAACTCCAACAACAGTTCTCAGCAAGTGACTCTGCCTCGGTTTGGAGAGGCCTCAAACACCTCACTAACTTCAAGCCAAAAACCCCCACTATATGAATGACCTCCGCCTGGCAGACGAGCTGAATGAGTTCTACTGCAGATTCGAAAGATTATGTCCTGATCCCATCCCCCACAGCTCCACCAACTGCTCTTCCCCCTGTACACCAACAGCTGCACCTCCAGTCACCAGTCCGTCAAGCTCCTGAAGTTTGCCGATGACACCACCCTCATTGGACTGATCTCTGGTGGGGATGAGTCCGCCTACAGGTGGGAGTTTGACCATCTGGTGTCGTGGTGCAGCCAGAACAACCTGGTGCTCAACGCTCTAAAGACAGTGGAGATGGTTGTGGATTTCCGGCGGAACAGAGCCCCACCCTCCCCCATCACCCTGTGTGACTCCCCAGTCACTATTGTGGATTCCTTCCGTTTCCTGGGCTCCATCATCACCCAGGACCTCAAGTGGGAGCTGAACATCAGCTCCATCACCAAGAAGGCTCAGCTGAGGTTGTTCTTCCTGAGGCAGCTGAAGAAATTCAACCTGCCAAAGACGATTGTGGTCCACTTCTACGCGGCCATCATCGAGTCCATCCTCTGCTCCTCCATCACTGTCTGGTACGCTGCAGCCACAGCCAAGGACAAGGGCAGGCTGCAGCGTGTCATCCGCTCTGCAGAGAGGGTGATCGGCTGCAATCCCTGCAGGACTTGTTCGCTTCCGGGTCTCTGAAGCGAGCTAAAAAGATCGTAGCCGAACCCTCTCACCCCGGACAAAAACCGGGGTGTGCCCCTTCCATCTGGCAGGAGGCTGAGGTCCATCAGGACTAAGACCTCCCGCCACACAAACAGTTTCTTCCCGTCGGCAGTCCGGCTCATCAACAGAGCCCGGTCCCCCACTGACTGACTATAACATTCCACCGGTCACTCTCCGTCATACTGCACATTTCACTTTAACTGTCATTTCTGACTCGTCACTTTGTCACTTGTTCGATAGTGCACTTTATTTTTTTATATTTTTTAACTTTAATATTTTTAATTTCTAACTTTAACTTTATTCTTATTTTATACTAACCCATTGCATTAGCATTTCATTTTATTTTATTACTTGTGCACTGCTGTCTTGTCTATTGTTACACTGTCTACTGTCACGCACCAACCGCCAAGACAAATTCCTTGTATGTTTGACATATTTTGGCAATAAATGTTTCCTGATCCACCTCAAGGTTGTGCGTGTTGTGGTTTCACAAATGCTTTGCTGCATACCTCGGTTGTAACGAGTGGTTATTTCAGTCAAAGTTGCTCTATTAGCTTGAACCAGTCGGCCCATTCTCCTCTGACCTCTAGCATCAACAAGGCATTTTCGCCCACAGGACTGCCGCATACTGGATGTTTTTCCCTTTTCACACCATTCTTTGTAAACCCTAGAAATGGTTGTGCGTGAAAATCCCAGTAACTGAGCAGATTGTGAAATACTCAGCCCGTCTGGCACCAATAACCATGCCTCGCTCAAAATTGCTTAAATCACCTTTCTTTCCCATTCTGTCATTCAGTTTGGAGTTCAGGAGATTGTCTTGACCAGCACCACACCCCTAAATGCATTGAAGCAACTGCCATGTGATTGGTTGATTAGATAATTGCATGAATGATAAATTGAACAGGTGTTCCTGATAATCCTTTAGGTGAGTGTATTTTGACATGATACAAAAGGAACTCAAATCCAAGTAATTCAATTAATTTAGCTCCCTCAGTTTGTGTCCTGGTACGGGGCACCGAGTAAAAAGCAAGCTTTTGTCCTACAGGTAGCTGCTGACAAAAAGACTTACTGATGTGGACCGATAATCTGTTGAACTTGTTTAAAACAGATGTTGTAAAAAGATTTTAAAATCTCAGTTCATTCATGTTTGTGTAAAAAGAAATTAATCTGTGAAAAGAAAAATGTTCAGTGTTTTGTAGTTAGATATTCTCCAAAGTGTTTACTAATAGAAGTAATGAGTGGATTTCCTGGTGAAAAAAAAAAAAGCATGACAACATTCTCTTAATAAAACAGTAATTTATTTTTGACTGAAAACTAAAATTGTCTGAACAGCACATTACAAGGGCATTGTTAAGATATTTTCTCGAAGGCTCAGTGATCACTTTCATACAGTACACTTGGCATGTACACACAATCTCCTTCAAATGAAAGGAAAACAGAAAAGAATACTAAATAAGCCAGTTTGCAACAAAAAAAAAAAAAAGAGAAAATCCATTGATCCTGTAGAAAGATGACCGAGCATTTTGGTTTAGTTCCAAGCCACAAAAGAAAGAAACCGAATCGCCGGGCGGTACAGCAGCACAAGAGGCACAAAAGACACAACAAGGACATCCCAGAATACTCTCACACGTTTTTTAAAGGGAGAAAAGTTGAATAGTTTCCATCGTCTTGTTCCGTACATTAGTTTTTTGTAAGCAAAGTGTTGGTAAACTACAAATTGAAAACTAAATGCTGCATTTATTAAATACATAAAAACCTGTAATTGTAACAAAACCTTTCCTCTGGGTGGGAAAGTTGCCACGACAGACATGAAGGCGGGAAAAAAAGCAGCTCCTTCTGACTTGTGCACAAAGCAAACACAGCCACTTTTTTTTTTTTTACCCTCGACTACTAGACCCTCTCTGCCAGTTGTTCCTTCTCTTTCACAATCATTCACAGACTGACAACTTCACACAAAATAAGAGTGCTGGATAAAAACATGAGGTAAGAAATGTTTGATTATAGATCATGCAGAACATGCAAAAGAGCAACAAAAAAGGAAATGTAGGGGGAAAAAGTAGGAAAAAAAGGTTGTGCATTTAAAAAAATAAAGAAAAAAAGTAAACTACTTCCACAGCTTTGCGTCTTTGGTTATAAAGTAGGTCGAACCATTTCACAGCTTTTCATCAGACCAAACCCCTTAATAATTTCTGTATTTCACTTAGAAAAAAAGGTAAATTAATAGATTTCTTTATCGAAACATCCCATCACATCTTAAACAGGTGTTCTCCTGTACACACCCTACTTTCTCTTGATACTTTACAAAATATACATTCAACCTGGATTTCACCCAATATATAAACTCAGCTTTAGTGTTAGCACTATTTCATGACATTTCTATAATGGAACTTATTGCCTACTTTATTGAGATCTAGTTGTTGAACGAGACAACCAAATTTAATACCTGACATTCTAAAATACCAAAAAGACCAAAGAGAAAAAAGTTTTTTTGTTAATAAGTATATCCATGACATTGTTCAGTTACATTATGAAAATAGCAGCCCTGAAATAAATAAATTCAAATACTAAAACTGAAATAAAGGAGAAAAGGTATGATTCATGTCAAAGTACGGTGGCTCTAAGAAGACAACAAGCTTGTTGCAGCATAACGAGCTGAGGCTCAACCCCCAAGCCGAGGCACCCGCATGGCTTCCTGCTACTGTCGGGGGGGGGGGGGGGGGGAATCCTCTCCCGAGGCCCTCCGGCCTCTTCCAGCCGGGGAGCGACGGATTGAGGGTCCTTGGAGGACGGACCCCGGTGGATGTCACAGGACCCTCGTCACTCCTGTGTGGTCGAACCGCCCCTTACCACTTGTTGCCCAGTCAGAAAAAACAAAAACCTCCGTGCCCTTTGACCCCTGTCCTCCTGCACCACAACTGTGTGCACCCGCTCGCCTGCTCCCTCCTCTTCTTGCAGCCCACCACGGGGACCCGATGAAGACGTTTTTGAAGGGGGTTTGTTGATGTCTTAATAATGTGCAGCCCGGTAACGGCGGCAAGCGAACCTCAAAGCGCGGCTCTCGGTGGCAAACAAAGATGTCGCCGCTTGGCGATTTCCTCAAACGGAGCACACGGAGGGCGGAGTCGAGCCGTTTCGCTTCATGGAGCCAAGGGGACGGCAGCAGTCGGGTGTCTTTCCTGACAGGATCTTCCAGTCCCGTCTGTGAAAAGTCTGCGTTTGAGCGCGTGTAACGGGGTTCACGCCGAGGTGATGTTGGGCCGATGGGGGGCGCTCTGACTCCCTTCGCGGTGAGCCAGGGGGCCGTTGTTGTTGTCGATGGCGACGAGCGGGTGCTGCTGCAGCAGCGATGGAGGCGTGCTGCCGCCCTGGTGGAGCTGACTGGAGACCTGGCCCAGCTGATCCGTGTTGGCCAGCGACTTCAGCACGGCGTTTTCCCGCTCCAACATAGAGTTCCTCTCGTACAGCTCCTTGATCTGCTCCTTCAACACCTCCACCTCCTCGCGAACCGCATACATCAGGTGGCTCTTCACCAAGTCCTGGAGGAGAAACTAACATTAGCACTCGGAGGGAAATAGATTCCACCCACACACATAGCTAGAAAAAGTGCTGTGTGTGGGGAAACATGTGGGGAACAACTCACCATGGCTTGCTCTATCTTGTTATCAATTGCGACGACGCTGGCACCGGATGCACTGTGGAGACAAAAAACAACAACACTTTAGATTGACGTCAGCGGTTTAACTTTGATTAAATGCCCAAATCGGTTGCAAGACATTGATGAGTTCACATGAAGTATAAAACGCCCATTTAGAAGAATAAATATTTTTTTAAGTTATTGGAAGAGTCAAAGACTTTACAAAACTATAAAGAGTGAGTGGAAAGTGGAGGTCGAAGAAAAGAAAATAAGAACTTGTTACAAATATGGTGCAGTTTTTTAAAAACACAAGGGGCAGCCTGTACTAAAGCAGCATACTGTGGGTTTACACAAACAAGCATTAGGGTTAGGCAATAAAATACTTTGCAACAGGCTCCACCTGTAGCCAGTCATGGGTCCACATTACTCTCCAGGCCGGTCTACTGCTCACAGAATTAAATAAATAGCACAGCAGCTGTTTTTAAAAACCTATTTTAAAAGAAGCGCTGCCTCATAAAGGACTGCGTGCAGCAGCAGGAGCTCTGATAACAATCCTCCTGCGGATTGTTTCAACAGAGTCGCGATGACATCAGACTTTTCAAATCAGACCACAAATACCTGGAGAGGTTTGTGTGATCCGACCGATAAGAGGAGAAAGCAGATTCAATTCGTTTGAGGTACAAATTTAGCGAGGGACTGTTGGATCAGATTAACTGTATGAACCAGCCTCACAAACGACACATGGGTTCAAAATGTTACAAAATTAAAAACATTTAATTCATTCATTTCAGACACGACGAAGGGACAGAAACACTTCAGACACTCGGGACACCAAATGAGACGATTTCAATGTCCACAATGGCCTGAAAAACGTGGCTGGACGACAAAAGGCATCGCGCGCGTTTTCATAATAACAAGAGCAAGAGAGAGACCCCCCCCCCCCAAAAAAAACTATGTTGGCAAACAACTACCAGCAAATGCGCGGAGCAGACGGATACCACGCGCACATAGAAGTCACCACGCCGAGGGAAACGCACACAGACACGCGGCGGGCAGAGAGCGGGCGCGCGGGTATTTACCTGGCGCAGCGCGCCCTGTAACACGCCAGGCGGCCCGGCGGGGAGCACGGCAGGCTGTAGCTCATTCTGCAGCGCATGTTCTCTGGTTCCGGGGAAAGTTTCTGCCGTGGGGCTGCTGCGCTCCTCGGGGTGGAAACAGGCGAGTGGTTCTCGTTGGCGTGTAGAGCGGAGGAGCGCGTGTTAAATGTCCCCCGGACACGTGGTGCGAAAACGAAGGGGGCGGAGTTAAGCGTCTCCCTCCCTCAGACTTGTAAATGCCCACACTGTTAAGATTCCGTTGAATTTAGAGTCTAAATGCATGCTAAAATAGGGACACTTCCCAGAACAAGCGAACGGCTGCGTTGTGGGACATGAAGGCCGCGAGAGGAGACATCAGGGACAACGAGCGTGTCCACGAGTGGTTTTATACACAGGCTCGATCCAAGTAGCCCGTCAAAGTGAATGGGGGCAGCCTGAAGGAGTAACCAGACATTTTAGAGAGAGAAGAAAGTATTTGTTGCTGTCCATTGTCCAAGGAAAACAAAGCAGACTGGACATTTGATTCGAGGCAGCCATGAGGCGGTTTATATAAGGGCCGCTCACTGCGTTCACCTCAAAGTGCTGCCTTCCTCGCAGACTAGCGGGAGCACACATGCACCAGTCCCCCAAAACAAAGTCTCCCGGACCGCAAGGCAGCACGTTCCAACTTTGGACACCTCCGGCCCCTAAACCGAGACATCTGTCAGAGCCACCGTCGCGCTGCGACAACACACGGCCCGGTTCTTCTCCATGAGGCCCAGTTGTTGGACTGTCACCGACCTCTTGTACCCGCCTCGACTCTGGAAGCAGCAGAAAGGTGTCAGCTTCACGCTCTCCATGGAAGTATTTCAGTGATGAACTTTATGTCATATGTACCGAGCAGCTGCGCGTGGCCTCATCTTTCCCTCTGGGGGCATCGCACGATGTCTTATGGCACCAGAACGCTAATGCGTTCTCCAGAAAAAGGGCACAGATGCAGCGGCGCACGTCGTTGTCACAAAGCATACCAACACTCCCTGTGTGGGGGGGGGCGACAGCTGAACAAATTAGACCTCGGCCTTTCAGTAACCCTCCCCTGCTAAGTGTATTTCAAAACAATAGCTGCCGCTCTCTTTTCCGATGCAGAGACCCCCCACCCACCCCACCCGCGGCCTTAGTTTTGTACGGTGCAGTTCGGCTGCTGCGCCAGACGAGGTCGGCAGAGGCTCCGACACAACAGAGCGGCTGTCGGGACTTTCCTAAATGATCACTCAGAGAGGAGACAAACGCACCGAATGAACGTGGAGCTGTAACGAGGCGCAGGAGAGCTGAACGTGGCTCCTCTATTGGGCCCCGAAACCACCCAAATTACAGATGTCCTATTAGATCAATTAAATCAAGTTGAGCTAATCAACACAAATACACAAAAACATGGACACATGGGATTAAAACGGTTGTAGGGAAGTTTAACCTATTAAACTAACCTAGGAAATATGTCTTGTCGAGGGGGAATGTTGTTGGGAATTATTTTGTTTATTCTTAAGGCCAGTCATCACAATGCACTTAAAACAGCAACTTAAAAAGAAAACACTTTAGGCCAATAGTCATTCCAGTGCCTAGGGGAAAATAGATAGATGGATCAAGTGGATAAGATAAGGGACTTGTTTTGCCACAGCTTGCTGAGATTTAATCTTCATCTTTGTGCACTGGGTTAGAGTAAAATTCCTACTTGCATTGCACAACGTTGTGAACCAGAAACCAAAATGAATCGCGTTTGTCACGACGCAAACCTGAAACTATTTTCTTGTATTTGGTGATGCAAAACTTGAAATCCCCCGAGACAACTGCTATTTGCGTATTGCACGGAAATAGTCAAAAGGTGAAATGGGGTCAATTTGTTGGAAGAATACAAATTTGTCGTATGCCGTGTTGTTGAATGGTGGTCCATACTCCAGGTAGATACAGTATGAACGGCAAAGTGACTTTTCAATCTTGCTTACTAATCAATGAATCCACCAAACCTTTCTGAAGGAAAAAAAAAAAGTTAACACGAAAGGGTCAAAGTGTCGAGCACATGGTCTGGGCGACCAGATGAAAACTGCTATTGTCAGTGCCATTTTTCACAGGTAATATTCTTATTTAGTCATAGTATGCTCACTTTTAGCTGTAGAAAAGTCTTTGAGGCTCAATCTTGAACCAAGTCCCCCATTGACCCAAATACTTCCTCCCCGGAACATTTGCACAGTGGGTTCTCTCACCATGGAAACATATGGACACATAGTGTTTTAATGTACTAATCTGTTTATATTGTCAGTTCTTGCTTGTATATTTTTATCTTGTTTTATTCATATATTTTATTCCTATATTGCACCAAGTCAAAGTCCTCTGTGTGCAACATATGTGGCTATAAATGGCTTCTGATTCAGACACGTTTTTCTTCTTCTTTCCTTTTAAAATTGCTGCGATTTGATCAGGTGCGAGCGACAACTTGTATTACTTGATGCCTGAATGCCAGCATGCTCATCGGAAGGCGTATTAACTACCATGTTTACAGCATTAACAAGAAACCACAGCTAACACGGAACTGGAAAACCTTAAAAAAAACCATAAATAATGACGTTTGCATATCGCACTGCAATAGTCACAAACCAAACAATCCCTTTTAGCCACTTCTGTCAGTCGCACTGGAAGGCCTCGAACAATGGCGACAATTGCAGGATGTTCAAAGCGTGTTAATATGTGCCTCCGAAAAGGTTTCAGATGGTCGGGATGTGTCGTCTACAGAAATGGCGGCCCGGGCCAACACAATGGACACTGAAGGCAACCAGATGGACTCACGGAGACCCCTCATGTGGGGGGGGGGTTGATATGTCTAGCGTGCACTCAAAGCGCCCCGAGTAGGTGTGTAGGCCGCCAACGAACTTCCCAGTCAACAGACCCGAGGAACTGTCCCACGCCAACCCTCGCTGGTTACATAATCCCCAGACCGGCGCACAAATAGCAAATTCTGTCGCTGTGTGACGTCCCGAAAAAAGGCCCAAAAAGCCCGTCTACCCCCGGACACTTCCACCGGATGAACCGGACGCCAGGGAGCATGAGAACGGGACGACGCCCTCGGGGACTGAACGCAAAGAAGATACGTACTCAAGAGACGGCGGATGATTGCCCATTTAAAAACGGCTTAAGGCGGACCCTGTTGTTTTAGCCTTTAAGAAAAGACCCCTAAAAAAACGGCTAAAAAGGATGTTTGTACGTGGCGCCCTTAAGCTTGGTTTACACTCGCCGGAGTGAAGCCGACGCATGGAGCTTTACAGTTAGTGGCTTACGGTCGATGTGTTTTCACATGTCAGTTGGTTCATTTGACCGCTGGCGTTGCGTAGAATAACTCGCGAGTACAAACTAAGCTCCACGACTAAGCCACAGTGTAACGTGACCATCAACCTCCGTACGCAAATACAGCGGGGCACCAAGGGAAGGTGTCGCCATGTGTTGAATAAAAAGACAACAAGACCTTCCGCTCGCACCGCGTGCCTCCACACCAGATTTTTACTACTTTTCCCCTCGGCCTCCCTGAATGGTTTTGGCCGGTGCAACTCGTTTCTCTCCATGTGGAACAAGACCTCAGTGGAATGTGTTAAAAAGTAATAGCGTCGCTAAAGCGTGGCTTTAAGGGGAAAACCCTGGCACCAACGAGCCTCTGTATGCAGCGGAGCATTCATCACGGGTTCAAGGACTTGGTCTCACTTGGTCCTCCTCACTCAAGTGCGGGTATCGGGCGTCACACTGATGTCATTAGGCAGCACGCTGCAAAAACACCGACGCATGTCTCAGCTGCTGCGTCTCATTCCGGCTTTCGCACAGCTGGAGCGTCAATCGTGACACAGAGGACATCGTTTAAAAGAAAGTTATCTCAAAAGATTAGAAATGGGCCTCGTGGCCAGAAGCAAATGTTTGCCATTTGTGGTCCGGTGGTGGGGATTAA